ACTTGTTCCTTGGGATCTATGGTTGAGGTTTTTGATTGATTTCAGCATGCTTCTCCATTATTGATCTCTATGGCGCCGTTACTCACAAGCTCCATGATACATACTAGGGCCATCAGCAACCTGAATATCAGAAACGGATTCATTCAGCTTGGGTTTTGAGGTGTAGGGGAAAGTGGAGAGTGAAGAGAACCCACATAATCTATTGCAATGATTGCATCAAGCTTTCGATCAGGTTGTAAGAGTGGCCAAAATGGTACAACCTCTCCTCCCCATCCACCATCAGCAAGATACAAGTCTTTTTGATTCTGATCTTCGTACATAAAGGTGCTATTTTCTTCTTGGAGTTTGTAGAATGGGTTCTAAATGTATGATTCGGTACATTTATATTTATTATCAACACTCATAGAGACAAATCTGTGAAGAGATTCTCAGAAGGAGCTTACAGGTACCTACCAATAATATCAAAGTGGTCAGCAAAAGTATCCTAGTATGCAAATCTAAAGTAGGTCTCCCTAGTTTCATTGTATGACAAACTTTGACTCAGAGTTTACTTACAATTGCTTCATCATAAATATTTCGTGTCATAGTATTATACGCTTCAGTTTCTATCGTTTGCCATGAGAAAGATCCAGAAACACCAGGTTGACTTAAAACATTACTACTTGCACCTATAAATTATTAACCGAAGCAAAGAGAAAAGCTCAAAAAAAAATTGATAGGAATGAGATTGTATGTGAAAACTTACTAATTACCCATCCAGCATTATCGAATCCAAGAGCGCAAGAATCGTTTGAAATAGGTTTACCAGAGTTCAGATGAGACCCTAAATAATCTATTGGAATATATGCATTTAATGATGGATGATTTACACCAAATTCTTCTGGACTAAATTCGTCTTTGTAAAAATTCGGAATCAAATTAAATCAAATCTTAGAAAAATCGTTTGAAGACTTTTGGAAAACAGTTTCAGAGATTTTTCTCACAGATTGTAGTGTTGAGATCAATAGTTGATTTTCCTTGGTGTCTTAGAGTGAGAAATAAAACATGGTCAGAATCCAGATAAAGTGAGGTAGATCTCTGGCTAGTTTTCACTTTTTTGATACACTTACCTTGATGTAGAGAGTAAGATTGGGAATGGAGCCGTGTAATTTTTGTATCCAGTAGTATTTCGAATTGATGAAAATAAAACTTTTGTGCCGTGATGTGTATCGTTACTGAGAGAACGTCCCATATCAAAGAAGGAAAAGGAAGAAGGTTTCAAGATGTTCAACATCTTAAATACTAAGAGAATTGCTGAAGAGATGAGCGCTCTCACATGAGATGGTGAGAGAGGATATAAGCTTGAACACTAAGTCAAAAACCGATTATGTGTTAAAATGAACAACCAAAGTCAGATTCGTGATCTCGGTTTGGACAATAACTGAAAATCCAGAGAAAAAGGTGACTCAACTCTGCTAAGCTTGAAGGAAATCCAGCTTTGTGTTTCAGTTCAGCTTGTTTGATAGCTTTCGGATAACGTTTAATTGAATTCCAACTTGCGTAACTATTCTTTTCTGTTAGATTCCAAATTGATTCATTTAAAGATGTGAACGTTGGAAAATCACTCGTGGCCCTTTCAAAATTAAAAAGACGAAAAATCAACAAAAGAAGCCTGTCTGATGTTTTAGTGTGGGTGACTTACCATGAGCCTATTAACCATGAACCTCTGATGATAAAGTAACAAAATAAAGAAGTGAGCTTCAGTTTGATAGTTCATTCATCTTACGTCCTACAACTCATAACATTTTCAAGCCCTCCTTGATTTCTTAAAATTCTCCTTATACATAAAAGACACGAACCCAGATAATCCAGTGATATAATTAGATAATTGTAAAACACCACCTGTACCAGCAAGATTAGCTTGTTCATTCCTATCATCAAACGCATTCAAAACGCCAGCACAACCAAGTAAAGCTCTGATTCCACCACCACTGATAGCTAATCCGATATTTGGTAATGTTTCTCCTGGAATTGGGTTAGATGGTAGGAATGATTCTATGTCGAAATCATCAAGTTGGGCTCTTGTTAGGTATGATCGCCATGCTGGGTTAGATCTTGATGCTTTTTCATTCACGTATGCTGATTCTTTTTCACCAACAAAAGTCTATGAGTCAAATTCTGCCATCAGCATTTTGCTTATGATATTCAGAGTTTCTTTGCGTTCCCCACAGGATGGATTACTGAGTGAAGAGAAAATGGACGAGGCTCAACTTTTCCTGATGGTTGTCTTACAGTAAAGTTAGCGGGACAAGTAACAAAGGTAGGAGCGTATCCATCTGTGGGCGAATCTTCTATGGCTCCTGACCTTCGGATAAGCCCTTGAACGGATTTGGTTTTGATTGCATATGGTACGATGAGGATTAATTGGATTCGAAGTCTTTGGTTCGGCCACCTGAGAAGCATTTTCGATTCTCGAAATCCAGGATCGGTAACCGAAGTCCAAAGATATGGTTATTCAATCTTTCCACGAAATGAGGGATTTTCTTGGCCTGTGTTTTTGTTCGGGGTGATTTTGAATTTAAATGAGAGTATAAAAGGATCGTCGTGCTCAAGAAGATAACCAAAAAAAGGTCAAAGATGTCGTTCTAAGAAAATTAGGATGAGATGAGTTTACAAGTCTTCATGGTGCAATGGTACAAAATTATAGATAAGAGAATGTGTCGGTTGCGAAAACGAAAAAAGATGTGGTGAGACGTTGGTGATGTAGGATTTGAAGGAGGTCTACAAAGAAAACCGAGAGGCTTTTGGATACTTGAGTAGTAAGAATTACTAAATTGAAATGAAACGCGTTTGAGAGGTCATAAAAACAAGTTGTATATACCTTCCTTGCGCATCATTCGAGGTGTTTCAGTCTGCGAGGAACAAATATTGGCTGCAGGAGTTCAGCACTGTGTGTTCGAAAGTGGCAGTTGTTGTTGATTCATCAATAAATGCCCACTTGATTGTCCATATCATCTTCCTTTGTAGCAACGCTACTACAGCACTTGTGACTGGAAGATGCGGGGACCCCATATAGTTGACTTTTGCTGTGGTTCTGGATTACTTTGAGGTTACGAATATGTATAACGTGGCATGGCTGGTTGATCTGGTCACATCTGTTCCTTTGCGTTTTTGCGGACGCTGATCTCAGAAATTTTAAAGAAGGGCTTCATGAAGTGTTCCAAAGCTCAGAAGTATGCTCTGTTGGCCCCTCTGTTGAAACCTGAAAAGATGACAGCGAAGTGAAGACTTGATCAAAACTCCTTGACGAAATTATTTTCACTGTGCCACTATCGTTGTTTGAATATCCTGACGATTTTGTCGAGTTGGATACGATTACAGCCATTGTAATATCTAATGGCAGATTTTTGAAAAGATGTGTCGTGACTGGTTTTTACTCTGGAAGTCCAAAAGTCGAAAAAAAGACGAATTTTTTCCATTTTCAGATTAAAGTGTATCGTGCTTCTTATAAGACGAGACAAACCCTTTCGCATTTCATCTTTCTTACGTTTTTCCAACTCTCTCTTTCCGGTTATTATCTTTTCGAAATGATTACCGGAAAGCCATTTATAATGGCGACCACATCATCCCATCCAACATCTTTCCCCAGATTTCGATCTATTTCAATTCCTATAACATCCGTTATATCCACATTCTCCTTTCGTCCATTCTTTAGCAAAAGAACCATTTGTGATCGTATGTTATCCGCTTTGGTTTCATAAAGTTTTCTATCTCTCAATTGATTCTATGCTCATCCCCGGTTTTGATAGTTATAAAAATGGCCAATACTTCTTCAATTGCTCCCACCGAGACTCCCTTGACTGGCCACATGAATCCTTGTGAGTCCAACTTCAAGTTGTCCTTTCCAACCTTCTTCATATAATACCTTTTCTCCTTCATTTCTGATCCCCTTTCCATTGTTTGCCGTTTGATCTGTTATCCCATTCAGTGTTTGATTTGCCAGAGGATCGGACAGGTGACGACCGACGAGCCACCTGTATCCGACAAGACCCCTTGTTACGCGTGGGCACTCCGGCTCGGGACATTTTCGAGAAGAATAATCAAATGTCAATTGAAGTGAAATTCAAGATCTATACCGACCTCGAGGTCGACATGAATGCTCCAAATCAGAGCACCCCAAAGGTTGGGGCTGGTAAGAAGGCACCGAAGTCAGCCAAACTCAATTTGATAGACTCTAAAGCAATCAACAGTCATTACCTCGAGATCAAGACTTGTCCGTTTGGAAAGAGTCTTAACGAATTTAAGGAGCAGGTGGCTGAAGCTTGTGAAGTTTATGAGCCTGGTATGAAAAAGATTATTCTCAACAGTTCTTTCTCGCCAGACCTGAAGTGGAAAGCCAATGTTGGCCGGTCCAAGTCGGTTCTCAACGATTACGAACAATGGCAACTTTTTGTCGATGCTCTTGAAAAGTCGACCAAAAAATCGGGAGTCGTTTCAATTGAGAATGAAAATGTACAAGTCAAAGCAAAAGATGGTAGTAAGGTGAGTTGTCTTTCCTACTAGATTCCAATTTCCTATTTTTGTTTGTCAGTCTAATGACTTTGCATCGATAGGCATCTGCAACTAAGAAGCTGATTGCGACGGCTAACGGAGGTGGGGTAGATGATCAAGAATTGGAGGTGTGCAGTTGACAATATCTTCAACATCTAGTCTTGACTGATTTTAACGATGCTTCACAGGAATCAAAGCAAGAACGAGAGTTGCAAACTTTGGCTAACCAGATTTTTAGTCAGCATGCCATCGACAAGTCGACCGGAGGCCCTGGAAAGCTCTTGACCACCCCGTGGGATCCGACTTTTCAATATCGATTGGTGTACCCCGCTGCCTGGATATGGGCTAAAGGTGTGGTGCGTGATTGATGAAGTACCTTCCTCGCTCATCAATATGGAGCTATCCACTGATTCACACCTTTATATTCATATAGGCGGCCAACATTGCAACCGTCGATATACCTCCAAACACTTCGGAGTTTCGGTACGAGATCAAGAAAACTCAATGGATCCACCCTGACATGGGGGTGGATCATCGTGTTCAACTTCGTTTACAAGGTCGCCCTCGAGGATCCCAAGGGATCAACTCAAACACTACCCACGTAGGTGTTGGTGGTTCCGGTTTGAAGGACAGTTCGGGCCTTTCGCACTCCAGCTCCATGCCCGAGATGAAGCCGAACTTGGAGCAGCTCGGTGAAAAACGTAACGCCTCTGGGCCCAGTGATTTGATTGATGTCAAGCCAAACTTGAAGAAGATGAAGGTTGAAGCACGTGAGCCATGTGCGATGATAGTGATCTTAGATATATATTTACTGATTGACCTTGTTTGATTTTCTGCCTCTAGTTCCCAACAATACAATTGACAACCCGATTTATGTGTCTAGTGAATTCGAAAGTGACTGGGACAGTTCGAATGAAAGCAGCAATGTCTCGATCGAAATTGAGAACCCTTCCACCTCTCACTCAGTGGCTTTAGAGTTGTTTCTCGTTGACTGCGAGATAGCTTCGGACGACGATGCCACTCGGACCGTCCTTAGAGATGCTGGTATCAAGTCCTGGACTGACTTGATACCAAGCCTCCAACTCACGGAATCGACTTTGACGGCCAAGGGTATGGACCGTCAAATAGCCAACCGCCTGATGAGCGAGGCCCAAGCTCGATTTAACAAGTGTAAGTGGTCTAATCATTTGATTTAATGATTAGCCACCGTTGATTGACCTGATGATCATTACCGACACAGGATAAACTGCTATCCAATCCCCACATGTATATTTTCATGGTATACATTAAAATTGGCTATAACTTCCTTTCTCCCGTTATGTTTAGGGAACATAGATGTTACCGAAAATTTGTTCCCTTCCTGAATGCACATTGTCTTATGATTCCTGAGTTCGCTCAATCCAATATGTTTTCGTCCTTTATTTTTTATATGCTTCCTTTGTTTCCTACAAATTCTACATCGTTGATCGACGCTTTGTAAGCAATTCAAACCAATTGATATCACTCGAGCAAAAACAAGTCCAATATATGATACTGTCCGAAATGACCCCCTGGCCCGAAGTGAACAAAATTCAATCATCTAGTCGATGTAAGTCTGAGTGACTCAAAAGCCACTCAATGACTTAATGATGAGTGGACAAATAATCTTTCGAAACGTGTTATCCTCATAATCGAGACTTGTCCAAGTCTCGATTTCTAGCCTGCCAATTGTAGGTTAGTATGAGAGGGTATCGCATCAATGTAAAGATGCGATATCTCAATCTTCAAAGTATCTGATAGCACTCAATATCGGTGTCATGGTCGAAATCACATCTGAATCGCATTTCATGATTCATAGTCACTTCACATACAAGTTTCTTTACAATCTTCAAAAGCAGAATCAAACCGAATACAACAAGACACAACATGAAACCAATCAAAAGTTGTCAAATGTAACGACAACTTTTGAACAATTTGGTACAAAGTTCTTCTGTGAACAAATTCATACAAGTGACAAAGATAGAAGCTTCCTCACCTGCGACATTGAGCGCACGGTGAAGGGCTCGTGTTCTTTTCAAACGCGACTTGAGTGGAGAAAAGGCTAATTCGATTGGATTCATGTCGGGTGAGTAAGTTGGGAGGTACAGCAGTCGAACTCCTCGTGCTTCACAAAGGGCAGGTATGTTCCCTCCGTGATGGATGGGAGCATTATCCATGACAAGTACCGAATTTCGAGCTGGCCACGGATTCATAGCAGGTAACTGAGGTTGATGAATCATCAGTGAACCTTAGTATGTCACCCGAAAAGCCAAAAGAAAACGTACCAAAGAGTCTTCTAAGAACGCCTCAAAATCGATCCTTGAGTAGCCTCCAGGCTGAATAGCTAAACCCACAAGGCCCCCCAAAGAGATGGCTGGTAACACAGACCATCTCTGGGACCTAGTCGCTCTCTCCTGCCGGACCGTTCGTGCGCCACGAGGTGCCCGTGCGTAATCACGGTAGAGATGACGTTTGTTCACAGCCGTTTCATCTAAATAAATAACAATGATTCAGTATGATACTATAATCGATGATGTAGAAACCACGTGAATGATAATCTCACCGGTAAAAACAAGGCAATAGGGGTCGATGCCAAAAATCTCCCCGATATATGCACCTCGCGCCTCCTCTGATTGATTCGGATGGACGGTGCGAGCCTTCTTTCTGGTCCATCCTAGGCGTAATCGGACCTCGTTGGAGAGGGTCTTGAGGGAGACCACAATTCCGAATCTGTCGGAAATTTTAAGTTGAAGTTCATCTAGAAACAAAGTTGGATCGTGTTCGAGGGATTCAATGATGAAAGCGTGTTGAGCGGGGCCTAAGATCGGGCGAGCACCTTGGATCATGTGATCTTCGGGATTAGTGATGATGGCGCGAGTCGTCTGGTACAATTCAAACCATCTTCGGACCGACGAGAGAGAGACATCAACGCCCAGAGTTGAGACGATGTCGTGGAATCGCATTCCACGCATCACCATTCGAATAACAACCATTTTGATATCAGGTTGATAGTTATTGATGGGCATCTATAAGAATATGCATGTCAGTAATGAAGGGAATGCCAAATCCAATTGAAAACACTCACAAATGATGGACCCGGTGGGTGGATGAAACTCAAAGGCCTGTTTTTTTCCTTGAAAGGTCGAACGAGAGAAACTGATTTGATTGAAAGAGAACCAAATCGAAAAAGAATGGAATCCCAGAAAAAAGATAAAATCAAAACTGGTCAGTGAGGTGGTGGGGAGCAGTGACCAGTGATGGCATTCCACTTGCCTTGGCGGGTGATTGGGAAAGGATGTGTGTGGTGTGGGAAAAGCGGCAAACGAGGGGTTTTCGTCTGGTTGGGAGAAACCCAGAGGAACGGGTGGGTGGATTGGTCCGGTTAATAAAAATAAAAAAATTAAATTAGAAATTAGAATCAACCGGCTTTCGTATGGCTCAGTACGGAGTCATGCATTTAGAGGGAGAGAGGAAACTGCGTAAACTTACCTGCCCAGCTTATTACCTTATGAAACGAAGGCAATAAGGTTCATCAATTTGGAAACGTTTTTTTCGAGTTTTTGACGTCGAATTAAATCCGGCGACGACACATTTGTTCAAAAATGTGCCAATAGATATTACAATAGAGACCAGGCGCAGATTTTCCGGCTTGTTCATTACTATTCTGCATTGTTTTTCACGTTTTCTCACTTTCTCGTCTCAAATTTGGGTCAATTGTCCTTTTGAGACGTCCTTTACAGTTCGAACAGCAAGATACTCGTTTTCTTCTTGTCGTGCCTCACATAGTTTCAGTGAGGCACGACATCATCCATTCATCTATCATGAATGTATGATGGTCATCTACCCCTTACTCCGGATGTCTCTCCCTGCATAGTAAAGAATCAAAAAGGCAGATTTCTGGACCTTCTGATTGTCTCACTATTCGACATCATCGTTGTCAAACATTCGGTTTTTTGGCCTTTTGAAAGTGATTTTATTTGCCCTTCTGTCCGAATTTTGTTGCCCGCATGAACTTTGCGAGGTCAAATCACAGCAAAGAGCCATGGGTTTTGGGAGTTCTTTTCTGTGAAAGGTCTCGGGTGTGGCAATGCACGTAAGCCACACATGCTGGAATTGCTTATATGTTTGCCCGATTGTGTTATCCGCTCTCCTCAGTCAAATAGTTCCTAAAATCCAACTATATGTGGTTAGTTTGCTTGTTTCTCATGTTGGGGTAGCCATTTTGTAGTGATTTTTTGAGCTCCGGAATCTTACTTGTTTCTGTTCAATCTTTTCAAAGGGAAAGCATTGCAGCTTGAATTCGATAGAACACAAGCTCAGCATTCAGGCCGAGGTAAAATTAATCATTGGACATCTCAAACATTGGGCATGGTTTTAGATAGGTGAGCGAGTGACACTCTGTAGCATGTCACTCGCACTCTAACCGAATTCCTCTGCAGATCCCAGATTCAAAAACCACTCTAGCAGTGGAAAACCTGCTAACGACGTGCAAAAATCTAGACAAAGTGCGCCTGGTCCTTAATGGCTGTATCACAGCTCGGGATGCCATATCTGTCGGATACGGCTTGTCTGATGGATGGCTTCAAGTGCCAAGGGGAGCTATAAGAAATCGAATTCGACGGGTAGAATAAGGTTGAATACGACCTGCTCAAAATCTCAGAGAAGCACTGAAAGCATTCAATTTGGTTAAACTTGTATGCGGTGGGTACCCGAGGTGGATCTCCTTGACCTTCCTTCTCTCGAAACCTCCTAACCTGACCTGAAGCAAAACCAGGGAAACCTTCAACCCCACTCTGATTACCTCACTTCAACAAAAACTGCATCTCTTGATACATACATATATATGAACAACCTTGAAATTGAAAACTTTTTTTTCGGTGAGACTCAGTTTTTCAAATGACCCCGTTTGGTTAAATGCTCAGGGTGCGAACTTCTAATAACAGTTGAATGCATATTGGTCTCTCAGCCAAAGACTTTTCCCATTATCAATACATCGGTGGTCGGCTGGTCGAACCCTCGATGGTGGTGGCAGGAGTGAGCAAAATTGAGGATACACAGAAGCGACCTTACCCGACTTACTTCGACATCCCAACATGCGTCAATTTCAGTCCTACCGAATCAGGTTTCTTCCGATTTATTGGTCTTTAATCTTCACTTTTTTTACACTAGCATCAAGTGAAGAGAAGTACAAGGAGTGGTGTGGAAAGTGAGTCCTCCATGAGCGTTTTTTCGGCTGGTTCTGACCACTATAACTTTCGATTGCAGGCACTATGAATCCAGTGCTCCGGCTACTCCCCCACTCGGCGCCTTCGCTGATCCACCCGCTGGATCGTTTGACCTAAGATGTATCGCCACCTTACAGCCTTACCTTTCGACCGATAAACTCTCTGAAGCCTCCCTCATCCTGGATCATCCTGATCCATCAGCTCGAATTGATGTGATTGACCCACTCACCGACCGATCTCTTCTTCATAATGGCCCCGTGTCGCCTGGAAAAGTGTTGTTCAAAATTTCAGAACTTGGCCCTCCCAGAATTGAACCCTACAAACTAATCTGTCGACTCTCAAGCGATACCAAGACTTTGGCCACCCATTTTAACGTGTTGTTCTTACCGCCTAATCCTATACCTAAAGCTAGCGTTGTGCGCAAGAATGCAGAGTCAGGGATGTTAAGCATCTCAGATCACCATGGTTCACTAGTACCATTTTTTCCTTTTGGGCACGTTCGAGTCAAAAATCAATTAACTTTTCAACCTTCCAGCTGATCAGTCTTTTCTTTACCCACAGATTCTATTCCGGTTTGCAAACCATTGTTGTACCTATCTTTATCCAGGAAATCACTCACCATTTCTTTGTTTTATCCTATCCAAAAATCTTTCATTTACCATCGACACAGCGGATAAGTATGATGATTTACAAAGTAAAGTCAACTCTTTTAAACGATCTGGTAGTGAGTCAATCAGTTTGAATACTTTTTTCCTTCCAAGAACTCCAAACACAAGGCAATTCTAAAGACTTACAATTCAAAATACTTCGACTTTCTTTCACTGAGCATAATCTTTGTTTATTTTACAGTGACTACGATGAACCCAGTTCCAGATGTTCCATATTTCAACTTGACCCAAATTCAACAAATGTGGTCACTCTTTGACCAAGCTGGAATTTGGTTTCAACACAACATGAGACATTCTTTTTCAAATCTAACTCAGTACGTGAGCTGATATCAAAACTTGAAAACAGAACCACAAATTCATAGATTGATAATTGGTCATATGGTTTCTATGTACCACATCACTTAACCAGGGTAGATACCCAGCTTGAGGTAGTGATGAAGCAGCCTAATTTACTAGCCTATTATACCGCTGACGAGTTAAGTGGTCCAGGACCACTTTTATATTAGGAACACAACTGATATAACTTCTTTGATTTGTGTGAAATGATAGGCCAGACGGTAACGCATTTTCGCTAGCAGTAGAAAACGCTACACGTCATCTTCGTATGCGAGATCCATATCATCCTGTGTCATTGGTACGCTCTTGCTATATCAAATAATAATATAGAGCACCTTTGGATTACTCAATGCGGATCTATGTTCTCGGTGACTTTAGGCATTGAATTGTCAAGATTTCTTCTTTGAGGAGTTTACCAAGGACATCGACATTGTGATGACAGGTGAGTATTTACCAACCACTATGGTCCTTTTTATCTCTTGTGATGACTAGGTCCCAACTTTATTGATACCTTCCAAAACAAAGATCCTTACCCAATTGGACTCAAGTCCACCACGTCAGTATCACATCATGTCTTCTCCCGGTCTCCAAGCAAAAAACTACGGGTCTGATAAAGCTATCATATCTCATTTCTATCCAGTCACTCTGCGCCTTGGGGTACAGTTTGTAATGCTACTTACGGTGATTGTGGATGTGACAAGTCAGAGCATTCTCCTTCTTTTTAAACAAAGTGCCATTTGCTAATATTACCAAAACAGTTGTGAAGGAAACTTGAGCGATCTTTCAAGTCGTATGAGACGTTTCAAATCATACCGAAGATCTTTAGGTCGGGATAGAAGTTTGATGATCTGGGGAATTCCTCAGTCTTTTTGGGATGATAGTTATTGGACTCGTTCACCTACTGGACAAGAGTATTTGACTAGCTGTACAATATATGTCATTGAAGGAGCTGTAGGATTGATGGCTTGGGCTGATGGTTCAATGACCCCTGAGGTGAGTTACATCCACGTAGAGGATTATATTGCTTGATGTGCTGAATTCCAAGCAGTTCGATGGAACTTTGGATGAAGGTAATATTACCTCCAGATTATTAGCTAAGCTTTTCTTGTCTTTCTTCCATGAATAAGATTGACCAAGCAGCTACACAGTTTAGTGGCGCTTTAAAAACCATGACACCCTATCTTGCAACTCCTCAACTCGAAATTCCAGAGCCGACTGAATCAAACTATGTCTTAGCGAGATTATGGGTTTCTTATGACCAAAAATCAGTACTGGTGATGACTGCAAATATGAAAGCTGAAGTCGGTGAATGGACAATCAAAATCCCAGAATCAATTGGATCAATTTCTCTCAAGTCTCAGAATATATTATTTGCTTCTGGAGTTATAGATCAGCCAGGTTTTCAAAACGGTCAACTTTTTGGTAAAATTGAGAAAATAGGATGTGCTGCTTGGGTATTTGATTTAGATAATGTAGCTGTCAGAACACTTTTGATTCATCAAGATAATACTCTTTGAAACACTGCTATTTCTTTCCTCTTTGATTTTGTTGAAATGTAAGACAACGTTTTGTTATCCTTCGATGTCATTTTTCCAAAAATAGAGTTAACGGGCTATATCCTGCTATGCCATTATTGTATGCAACTCGAGTGTAATATATATTTAGTTACTTGATCCTCCTGAATTTATTTACACTATTTACGCAATAGCTGTTCTTAATAGGACAGGGGCCCTTCTATGATGAGATAGGATTTCCCTTATGTTCCATTCATATCAAAAAGAAGATGTCATGATAAATAAGATTAGCTACTCTAATGATTTAACTCAGATATCAGAGACCCCCCTAGGAAACAATTATTCAACCTTTGTAGAAGCAGACAAGGTTCAGTAGAGCCCCATGCAGAAATGAAACCAGTCAGATAGAACTCCTTCTACAACAATGCTAAGATTATTCAGGATTTTCCATCTTGACCAGATTTGGGGTTATACTTCCCGTGGTGATAAAAGTCGAGTAGTTATTGAGAGCCATAAGTAAGGCTGTATCGTTTGAAGATCTTCAAAGTGATCGGCGTAGTGTCAAAACATACAGAAAGAAAGCTGGGTGTCAGCATACAGGACCATCACAAAGGAAAAGTGGTGCTAATCAGCGCGAGGAATACACAATTACTGGACATTCACCATTATCATACCGGGTCAAAGTGCTACTAGCATTTCTTGTAAATGTCACGTGTGGATCAGCTTCAAAGCTGTATGTATAGGATATAAATATCTTACTTTTCTCTGATTGCCGTTTCTCTTCATCCTGACTCTCTACCACCACGACTCTTGACCACCACACCAACCACCACACCAACATACCATTTCATAAAAACCTTTACTATTTCCTGAATTCTTCCCACTTCTCTTCCATTTCTCTTTCATCATGAATCTCCCCAAGTTAACTTTTAAAAAGATCTTCGGTCATCGTTTTCAAAAAACCCTCTTTGTTTACTTCCCGTTGAACTTCTTCTTTGTTATCTTTTTGATTTTTGGCACTCACAAGATCTCTCCTCGCAAAGTTCCAGAGTCGTTCATCCTTAAACTCATCGCTAAAAACTTGTACACCATTCTTCCTTGGGCTTATTTCCATTCTCATGTTCTTTACTCTCGCTACGACACTCTTCCAAAAAAGCGTTCGTCTATTCCTGAGAAAGATATCGAACTCGGTCCAGTAGCTCCTCTTCCGAAACCTCTCGATGCTCCAATCCCCCTTCCAGCCGAATTTGTTGAAATTGATCTAGGTATGTTATCTTTCCTACAGTTCTTCCTTCTCATGATTTTATAAACCAGTCTAACAAACTCTTCCTGTTTTTACAATCGCTTCTAGGTGAAGGTCCCTCAAACTGCTGTCTTCCTGGTCCTCCTCGACCTTTTTTAACGTGTGAAGTTTGAAGAGCTCGACTTGATTTCATCTTGGTATGTCATCTCTGCCTTCATTTGTCATCTATTCATCTTTTCTGAGTACAAATTCATTATGCATCTTCATCTATCTAATCATTTTGACTTTTCCCAAATCTCTTGTGGCTTGGCAGGCGACGCGTTCCTTGATCTATTTCCTCATCTCGATGTCTTTTATTGTGACCATTCCATTCTCTCGTTTGAAATGTGTTCTTGTTGTTTTTGTTTTGCGATGATGAGTAGGAGTTTACTTTTTGAATATTCGTATCGAGTCATTGCCGATATTCGAATCAATTAGTACTTTGAATACCCTCACTCTGAGCTCCTTTACTTATATCTTTCAATCTAGTTTGTAATCAAAAGACATATATCAACATCTTCTTTCAAATGCATCGAAGTGGCCGGATGAATAGGGATGTCAAAGATACCCAAGTAATAGGTTGCTTTCTTTGTCATAAGACTATTATCGTGGGAATTGGCTTTTACAAAGTGACATTTTCATAGAGTTTTTGTGTTTGTCTACTGTCACCGAGAAAGATACCGAGCTTGGTCCAATAGCTTCTCCTCCAAACCCTCTCGATGCTATATTCCCACTGCTCCAAAACAAAATCTACTGGTACGCTTCCATCTGAGTTTCTGAAGTCAACCTTGGTACATGTGTAATTTCTTTCGATTTTGAGTTTGTTTCCTTTTGCTTGGACTCTGATGTTTGTTTTCTCGACACTTTTCAGCTCAATTTTCATCAAAGTACGGTCTTCCTAGTTCTCCTCGACCTCTTCTAACATGCGACCTCTAAAGAACTATTCTTCAAATTATTTATAGTGCTATCCTTAATCTGTTAGATTGACTTTGATTTTGATTGGTGTAGAAGTGCAGTTTGAGTTATGAATTCAGAACCATGGATATCTGCATCGCTTGCTCTCAAACAACTCGACGATGCTTATTAGTACCTTTTGCTGTGACTTGGGAAATAAATAGGAGATGATATGCCATCCGAAACACATTATATTGGAAGTGTACTCATATCTTAATGAGAGGCAAAGGGATCTCAGACTCTACTCCACATATCTTCATTTAGGGCGCCAATCTTTTCCAAGTGGGGAACCACTTGGCTATATACTCGGAGCTCTCAGTGAGACGCGTTCACAAAATGTATGTTTTTCATTCAGATGATGCATTTCATTAGGCCGATTCAAACTCCCATGTAGCTTGTACATTTTCGAATGATGAATTTTATTCAGTGGTGATCCTATATCTAATTGATGTACAAACGTATCATTGATAAGGATTCTTTAAATCCATTCAAGTAACTTTGATTCAAACATGATTCCATCGGTAGATTTGTACCTAAAGTACCCAGTATCATCTAGACTGCAGAAAGACTCTTCAAATTCTTTTTCATGCCTTCGTAGTACATCCTTTCTTCCTTTGACATTGAAGTTGAGATTGTAGATAGGAATTAATCACATGTTCAGTCATTTCGACTTTGGGATTCCAAAATCGAATTCGTGCACTGGAAGGATGGCACAGCACAAAGATCCTGAGTCTGATTTGAGGAATTGCGTAATTCGATGATTTCCTCTTGTACATGGAATCATCGATACGCCAGAATTTTCAAAATCCCTCCTCGTGCCTTCGTCACAATATTTTGTTCCGTTGTCGACAAAGTTGAGAGTTTGGATAAAAACGATAATATGATCAGTCATCATTGGATTCAAATTCCATAACCGAATTGACGCGTGTTGCTCAGCAAAAACAAGTTTTACGCTGCGAGTTGAGGAAACGCTCCCAACTCTTCAAGATTCAATCGACATTTGAGATGGTCAGGCGATCGAAAGAAATATTGCTGATATCGCTGTTGAAACCGCCTGCTAAATGAGCCAGGTTAGAAGAATGAAAGAAAACTTTTGATTGATCGAGAACCAAAGTTCGCCTCAGCCTTCGGGTAGCCATAGGTGAGATGTGTAAGGTATGGGTTTAAACAAGTCTTTGCATCAAATCAAACACCCCACCCGAGTCTTTCCTTTCTAGACACACCACACATCATCGGCCTCGTGTTTTTGTTCTGAGTGATTTTGAGTTTAAATGAGAGTAAAAAAGGATCGTCGTGCTCAAGAAGACAACCAAGAAAAGATCAAAGATGTTGTTCTAAGAAAAGTAGATAGAGATGAGTTTACAAGTCTTCATGGTACAAAATTATAGATAAGAGAATGTGTCGGTTGCGAAAACGAAAAAAGATTTGGTGAAACGTTGATGATGTAGGATTTAAAGGAGGTCTACAAAGAAAACCAAGAGGCTTTTGGATATTTGAGTAGTAATAATTACTAAATTGAAATGAAATGTGTTTGAGAGGTCATAAAAACAAGTTGCATATACCTTCCTTGCGCATCATTCGAGGTGTTTCAAAACACAGGAGGGCTTACTTTGGTATGTCCAAGGAGCCTTCGATATCTGATAGGTGGGTGAGGTCAGACTCGTTTCCTGGATCAATCGTCGGTTGCTGAGGGCGAAAATTGTGCTCGCATGGGGTGCAGTTGTGACAGGGCATAATGGGTGGAAAGAGGATCGATGAGATTTAGCTTTACATGAAGGGAGAGCGTGATCGATTGGTGATTGGAAAAGGTGGTATGACTCTGAATCGTCGATAAGGGGTTTTGCGCTGGGATGAGGTAGTACAAAGAGGAGGGCACAAGTTGTAAAACAGATTCGTGTTGATTTTGATCTGTTCAGAGAAATGAAAGGGAATCGGTAGGAAAAAACAAACAAAATTCTGAACGTCCAGAAATGCCGATTACTCGAATGGGGCTTGGGCAAAAATTGTTATGTTTTCGTAGCCTGGACAAAGTGATCTTTCTGGGTCTCTCGTGCAAACTGTTACGTTTGTTCTTTCCGGTGATCATAACGCTATCAAACTGGACGTGGCGCAGTCTTTGGCGCACTCCTTTCGTTCTTTCGAAGTCCTCAATCCGATTTGAGAGATGAAGATTCTCACGTACTTGGTGAGTGATCTTCCTCACCCCTAACCTTGACTAACCTCCTCAGGTTAGTTAAGCTTATTACTCAGTGCTCACCAAAAACGCCTAAACCTCACCTTGTGATTTTCTTTTGTACGACCGAACCATTCCTTCCTGGTTTTATACTTTAGCTCCTCAGCACGAAGGTGAATTGTCAATTTTCGGGCTCGAGGCGATCGAGCTTCGGTAACACAAACGCCGATGATCAACAGCGGTGCAAGAACTTCCAGGGGTCCCTGAAAATCTCAAAGGACTCTGAGCTAAAAACAGCGCTGTCTACGAAATCCACAAGGAGAATTTCTTGAGTTTACGGTTTATATTTATATACGATTCGATTGTCCTGGAGCGAAGAATCGATGGATACATATGCAATTCAATTGTTGAGATATATTCTGCTTTTTATTGCACCATAATCGTAACATACGAGACTCCCTCCTGAGAAATCGGTAACCAAAGATAGAGAAACAACCAGGTTGGTGTTGGATCAAATTCCCTTACATACTTTACAATCGTTGATAAACTCCACACCCTCTCAAAACGTTTGCCACCTTTTCATCATTTTGAAGAAAACCTCAAACTTTTCCTTCTTCCAAGATAATATTTTCTAATCTGTTTTTGAATAGTTAATTCATATTGGCTTTATAAAAAGATGGATGAAGATCCTTACTTGACTCCAACAATCTTCGATAATAATGTAACAGAGAAATCCAGAAATAAACCAGAAACGATCGCCGAGTTAAATTTGGCTTACGAAAAAGGTCAAGGTAAAGTGATAGTGGATCCAAATGAGGCTGATATTGAGGTATGCAGGTTTTTCCATCTATCACTCCTATTTCAATAACTCTACCTTTTCAATCCCAATGTTCCTTCCCTAACGATGATATTTGATAATGTTTAGTTTGGTGAAGCATTGGCTAGCCGGCTCAAAACAGATGAAACCGGGAAAATGATACTTTGGCCTCAACCTGATGATAGTCCAGATGATCCACAAAATTGGTCATCAAAGAAAAAAATTCAGATCCTTGTAGTCCTAACTTTGGCATCTTTTGTGTGTAACTATTCCGCCCCAACAAAAAACAACTAACCACAGAGCTTCAATTTTTATCAAGAGCTTAATGAGATATACATACGCTCGTATTTGATTCAGATTCCCGATTTCTGTGGTACTATAAGTATACCATCTACATTTCAACTTGCTACTGAATTTAACACGACCCCTGCCCAAATCAATGATTTGACCACAAAGTTTGTTGGAATTCTCTTACCCCAGAAGCTTTATGTTCTGCTACGTTCGTGAAGTTGAGTAATCTGTAAGATGACTGATGTATACATTCATGGCATCTTTTAGCTGGGCAGTTTTTATGTTAGGGCCCGGAGGGATCGTTGCAACAGTCCTCGTTAAACGATATGGACGTCTTCCAGTAAGTGAAACTGATCCACTGTATTACTTTTCTCTCAATTTTAACTTGTCTATTCTTTTAGATTCTCTTCTGGTCACAATTCATCGGTTTAGCTTTCTTGATTGGATGTGCAGCTTCACGTGATTTGAAGACATTTGCTGGTCAGTTTCTATTATCAAGAACTCAAGTACCAGAAAATTGTGACGTCTCGAACTGATCTGGCCTTGAAATTTACCTGCGGATTTAGCGATGCGATGCATCAACGCTTTTTTCTCTTCAGCACCACAAGTCATGGGCCTTTATGTCATAAACGGTATGTTGAAATCTCTTTGCGAAAGCTCTGATCACTCAGCAGATCCTGATACGGTGTTTTCCATCTCTAGACATGTATCCTTTCCACTTACAAGCTAGGAAGGTATGTAAAGCGCAACAAAATCGATGTTATTCGTACCAGTCGTAACAGAAACCAACGCTCTGTTTTGTATTATAGGTAAATGTATGGACAAGTGGATTTCTTTGTTCACCATTTGTTGCACCGTGTAAGTTATCAACACCTCATCCTGAATCCTATGGTTCGTATTACTGAAACTTTTTTTATCGAATTCAGGGCTCTTTGGATACCTAAACGCTAAAATTGTGGGTTATTAGCAAGAAATCATGTCTTGGTATAAGTGACCAGAAACTGATTCGACAAAAAACCAACTCATTGGATTAGTCATACCGATGGGGTTATTGGATCGCATGTATGTATGTAGGGATTGTTGTGATATTGATTGCATTTTTTGTTGAAGAAACAAGCTATGACCGAAACTCACCTGTGAAGACGGAAAGATCAAAGAGTTTAACCGTAAGATTTAAAAGTCTAATTGGGATCACTATCATTCAAGAAAAACGCGGTGCGACATGGAAGGAAGCTATTTGGCCTATGATCAGATTACTTAGTAGACCTCATCTGGTTGGAATACTTCTTTATATGGTTCGTTCCTAGTCTACCTCGTTCTCTGTCAGTCTGAATCGATGGTTGAATTTGTCTTTATGGAATTCAGGGAGTTCTGTTTGGGTTCAGTATCGGAGTCAACATTACCAATGGTACTTTCATATCTTTATTTGATATACACTCGACATTGCTAAGACTGATAGACAAAGAACATGACAGTTATCTTTGCTAGAAGTCCTCCCCCCTTAGGTTATGGTTTATCCGCAATGGCTGCTTCTTCACTATGTGAGCAAACTTGAACATGTTTGACCCTTCAAAAAACCCTGATAATTGACTAAGTATTATCTTATTTTTCGGAGAAACAGATGCCACACCAGTAGTTGCTGTATTTGTAGGAGAATTTGTGGGACATCATTTGAATGATTTGATTGCTTTCACTCTCACCAAACGTAACAAAGGAATCTTTGAACCTGAGATGCGACTGTGGTAAATATTTCTTCTCAAGATTTATTAAAACCATTTTTTGTGTTCAAACACTCAGAGAATTGAATGGTTTTTTTCTGGATGATTTTGTTTCAGGACATTGCATATCGGATTACCATTTTATGTGATTGGATTCGTTATGTTAGGTGCAGCATTTCAATATAAACTTAATCTGTAAGTCATTTCTTTTTAATGAATCATCAAAGCTCATGACTCAGGAATTGTTGTCTTTCTGTTCTCATCTTTTTCAAAAGTGCGATTTTAGTATTCGGTTGGGGTATGGCTCAAGCTTCAATTATGCTCAGCACTGTTGCATGTTGTGAGTTAGATTACTTTGAAGCCAGATCTATCACTCTTGACAATATATGATACTGATGATCCTCATTTTAAATATCTGAAATGATTCTAGTGAATTATGCAAACAATGCAGTAAGTCTAGAAGTATCCTATACTCTGCTTCATAAATCCTCTGTTAATCCGATCCTTCCTGATTTCACTTTTCCTAGTTCAACTACCCAGGAGAAATCTCAGCGTAAGATTATAACCTTTTCACATTCTTAAAAATCAGATAAGCTAAGCAAGACCTCATTCCCAAAGTCTATTAAATTTAGCTAGAATCCTTGGTGGGTTTGCAGTACCTTATTTTCAAGTTGAATGGGCCAGTTCAAGAGGTGCATTGGAAACATTTGGATGTGAAGCAGCGTAAGTGTCTTTGAATCTTTGAATCTCTTAATGGAATTAGTATTAATCTTTGAATAAGATAAGATGAACTGATTAATGATTGTGCTTGATAGAATCGTTGCAGGATTGTTTTTCTTGACGATACCTATTTTACAAATCAAGGGTAAAACACTTAGGGTAAATCATCTTCATATAACATATTTACCTATTTACAGCAGATCCTACTGATATTGAAAATCACTCATAAAACTATCTAACTGATCAAATTGATTTTATCTGCTTTGATCCAGGCAAAGTATGCAATGGATTGAGGATCAATTCAAGTCATATTGTCCCATATTGGACCAAACTCAATTTGGCTCAATGATTTTGTTGAAAGACCTTTCAAATGTAATTAATCACACATCCATCATGAGAATATAGAATTTGTGAAGAAGTCTTTGTGAAGATTTTAATTGAAGGATTTCCTAACAAAATTGTGTGCTTGTGATCTTGTTTTAATTGATTTTATTATTCTTTTCATTTGTCTTTATACTTTCAAAATTGGATCTCATCATTTAAGTTTTGAATTCCATTGGGTTGATTTATTTAAATTTCATAGAAATTAGAAGTGTTGTCTTATTAACCAGTTTGAAGTATTTGTTGTGTCTATTGCTTCTTTAAATTATCTGTAAATAATAGGGTTTGTGAAAGTGATTTTGAGTTTATGAGCCAGGCTGAGTAGAAAAGATAGTTGAGATCTACAGTTGTTTAAGGGAAGCTTGCAAGAACCTGGCTCCCACCAGGTCTGTGCACTTGCTTAAAGTAGTTTTCTTTTTGAAAGCTTCTTCCATCACAAATATATCTGGTCTTGGAAATATTTTCCAACAACTCACTACCAATGGAGCCAGAGAACTCTCACCAGCACCAATGGCTTCTTTGATCTTGATCCCTCACCTCCACTCCATCCAACTTGATCTCTGTTTTTCAATTGCCAGTCAATCCCAATTCTCAATTGTCTTCTTTATTTGTCTCAATAACTTTCAAAAAGTATTCAGAAGATATCAAATTATCCACTGCCCAAATGGCCAAAGACAATTGCTCCAAAACCAATCTTGACTGTTTACTAACCCAATCAATATTTCCCTGGTCTTTTAAGCGATGTCAAGAGCTATACCAAATGACCCAGAAAGTCATTTGCAAGCCAGATGATTCTGTGAAGCAAGGCCAATTTCACACCTTCTCAGATGAACACTAAGATTTTCTCTACAATCTGATCACCAGTCAACCCTCCAAATATTTAGACATGATTCAACATCAGTTGTAGCTCTTCACTGGTGTCTATGTCTTTTGACCTACCATTTCTCACAAATTACACAAACACCTTGGATTATCTCTGAAGGTAACTTGAGGCATTCACAAGGACCAATCTGCCAAAAAACAAGCCGTGTTTTTCATGATGGTGGCTGGAATTCTGCCAATGTCAGACCTGAGACTCAGTGCATATGCATGTACCCAAAACTACCTTGTGATACAGCTGTTTTCAAAAAAGTTGAAATTGAGGCGTTTCAAAAATGGAGAGGTGGACCGTGCGCCACCTGTGAAAGGTATCAAACTTACCTGACAGATTGACCATTAGACAGTATCAAAGTAGTTGTTTGACCTTCCTTACTCATCTTCTGATGGCACAGCGGTCAGCAAGAGTGGTATGTAAAGGCAGTCCTGTGTTTGACTCGGTGTGCCTCTTTTATTGCCTATAGTTTTTGTCTCAACTTGCCAATAGAACAAAGATAATCATATGGAAGCAAATAATGGTAGTTGAGCTATTTCATTCTTTTATTTTACGATAACAAGCAGATTGAACAAGAGAGAACGTGTCAAAATGTGTGATGACAAAAAACAAAGCCAGTCTGGCTTGAACTCAAAAAGGGAGTACCTTCAATACCTGGTTGATCAAGCATAACGGGGTCTCTCAACCAACATTGCCACTATGCTTTTTTGAGGGCTGTGTGGCTATGCTACTAGAGCAGCATTTCTGTGTGCATACTTGGCACCTTTCACAGGTGGCACACGGTCCACCTCTCCATTTTTGAGACGCCTTGATTTCAACCTTTTTGAAAACGACTGTACAAAAATATCATATAGAAACCTGATTACATGTACATGCAGTGACAGTCTATAAGCTGTATGTAACACGTAACAAAACACATCCAGATTAGGGCTGCGACCCGACCCTGATGGCCCCGGGGCTGCCCCGGGGCTTTTCCCGCCCTCGGATAGACCCGTGATGACCTCAGATCTGCTCAGGGCACGCCCCGAATCTTAGGGCTCAAGGCCAGGCAGGGCCAGACTCACATGGGGGCAGGAAAAACTCACAGAAGGGCATCTTAGGTGGCATAAAAGACTTGCTGAGAGGGGATGTTGTATTTCTAGGCATTTATGAAAGATTCCACAGTAACAAACAAACTTCACAATCACAAACTTGTATTTGAAAAAAGAGAAAAACTTGACTTGAATTCAATCTGAATCTCATGTATAAAAGGTTTTAAAGCCTACTTTAACACCTTATTCCAACTTTTAAGGCAAACCTGAGCCTCGAGATTGGTGGGAGTGAAAGCAGCGGTGATTGCTCATGACTCTCAAGGTGTTAGAAAAAGAACTCTCAGTGGGAGCACTTGTGGCAGGGACTGCAAGCATGGCCCTCGCCATGCAAGATAAGTTGGGCCAGTGTTGTCCAGAGGTCTCCCAGTAGACAAGAGGGTCTCGTGATTTGTCCTCTTGAGGCGCAGCAAGGTATTCCTTGACTTCGTCTTCAATTGGGACTGTTTTTTGTCTGTTGATGTAATGTTGAGGTTGGTCAAGGTTAAGAGTTGATTCTTGAGGTTCAACTATCTCAATATCAGGGTCGGGAGCGGGTTTGAACTTGGTGGCTTGTAAATTAAAGTACTCGACTAGATCATTGTGTCCCCAACCTAGCGATTCCATGGTTTGTGCTTTGACAGCGGTAAGTTTGAGACGCGGATCAAGGATGGCAGAACACATGTACACAGGTTTCGTCTCGGTGGCATTCTGATACTGGATGATCTTCTTGATCATGGGTATGATTGCCACCTTCAATTCCTGACACTTGGAATCAGCCCAGGCCTATCAAGAAACAATACATCAATCAGTAAGCCTGTTTATCAAAAGAAAGAATTAAAAAATGATGAAATAACAGAAACAAACATACCTTTTCAAGTCGCTCAACAAGCCATTGATAGTCAGGCATGACTAGAGAAAAAGTAGGATATAAATGACCTTCAATAGTCTTGGTCACAGCAGCGAGGGGACCTAAAAATTGCACTAAGTTTTCAACCAGCATCCATTCTTTGTAGTCAAGCTTGAAGCTCTCAAGAGCTGGGTTACAGTTGAATTGGTACTCCAACACAACTCTGAGCTCAATGAATCTAGCAAGGGAAGCATGTGTTGAAGACCAGCGGGTGGATACCTCATGAACAAGTCTGACCTTGCGTTGTAAGGTGGGGCAGCTGGCAATAGCATTGTCGAGAGAGGTCTTGAGCTGACTACTATGTTTTATTTTTTTGTGGAATCCTCTAATTCTGGTGAGTACACTACTTATCTCGGAGTTCGAGCTAGGTTCAATAAATAACGGAACAGAGGACTGAGGTTGTGGTATGGTGGGATCGAGAGCATTGATAGGTTGAGGGGTCTTTTGGTCAAAGACTGCCATACCTGCTTTAGCAACTAAGTCAATGATGTGTGCTACACACCCATGAAGGTGTTTGGAAGAGTCAAAATGAGGGATCAAGGTCGAGAGGCTTTGGCCCATGGTTGTATTGTTGGAGGTGTTGTCCGCGGTGATACAATAGAGGCAATTAGTGATATGAAAGGAGTCCAGAACATTTTTGAGAAGGGAAGCTAGGTTGGAACCTGTGTGGGGTCCTTCAATGGGCTTCAAAGCAAGTGTAATGCCGTGGAGAGTGAAGTCGTCTGTCATCCAGTGAGCGGCGACACCAAGCATTGAGACGTTGGTGGGAGAGGTCCAACCATCACACGTGATGGAGATATGGGGGATAGAGGAAAGAATATTGATTATCTTGTTTTGAGCTGATTGAAAGCTATCCAAGATACCATTGGTAATTGTGGTACATTTGGATAAGAGGGTGAAAGCCGTGGGATTTATCATATTAATGACTTCTTGGAATTCTTTTGCGTCAACGAAGGATATTGGGACCGCTTGATTGACAACCATATGAATCAGAACTTTCTTGAGGTTGGCTTGGTTGAGCGGTCTGACCTAAAATAAGAACAAAAATAACAAAAATAAAAAGTCAGAACGGAAATGACAATAATAAAAATTTAAAGATGATTGAAAGTATTAAAAATAATAAATTGAATTAAAACATAATAGAACTGATCAAAGGTAGTAAATTGATTTAAAATATGTGAATACTAGGAACGGAATGGAACTTACTTTGACAGGTTCTCCGTTGATATAGAAGGCTGACACAGTAGGTTGATCAGTTTGGACAGGAGCTATGATATGATGGTGGTGATTGAGATGTTGAATCATGGACTTCGTGCTAGCATGCTTGTCAATGGCGAGAGGTTTGTTGCAAATGCCAGTTCCAGGTTTGTTGGGATCTACCTTGATGGGATTTGTCGCATCAACAAATCCTTGTTGAGCTCAACAAACATTCTTCATCACACCATCAACCTTTTCGGTAATAAAAAAAGTCCACACCCAGGATGAACGTAACGTAGAGGTGGTATCAGAAGCCACGTCGGTGATGGAATCAGAGGGAGCAAGGGAAGAACAGGAGGATGACATCATTGTACGTAGATGGGATGATCGAGTGACAGTCGTAGAGAGGGACTGGGAGGGCATGACCAAGGCCAATACAACACGGAGATATCCCAAAAGCAGATTATTGTGGGAGATCTTCACCAAAAAGCAGTCGGCGCCCTGTTTGGGTTGGGCGCCCGAGGCGCCCGCGGGCATTTTGTGGATCTCATCATGTTAGGTTTAATTGCCCCGGGACGCGTACTGCCAGCTTCAAAAAAAGGTCGGGCAAAGTCGGCCGGGCGGGGTTGGGACTGGGTCGTAGCCCTAATCCAGATACTAATCACATGTACATGTACACTCAAAACAACATGTAATATGTATTATAACACCAATTACACCTCATAACTCAGTGTCAAGAGTGAAGGTGCTTATATCACATAATAGGGGTTGGGCAAAGAGTTTGACTGAGTTGTAGCCAGCAGATCTGGCGCCATTGAAGTTGTAGGAACTTGGCTACTCATATCAAGATAGATGTCACAGATTCACCTGATTCATTTTACTGAGCTACCCGGCGGATACCTGTGACAGGAATTAAGCCAGCCAACCAAAGAGGCTTTTGAAAAGGCTGCTTGTTTGGCCGGACGAGTGTTTTTAAGCTGGTAGACGAGTAGGCTCAAGAGGGATGCTGCTCTTATTGTCACGCCACACAGCTTTTTTTTTTCCAAAAAAAATGAAAAATAAAAATCACTAGCTTTGATATTGTTTGAACAGTGGCTGATATCCAGTCACTTTTGGATTGAATTGAATTTGAACTGCAGCTTGGGACACCAACAAGCAGTGTCCGCCCAATCCCTAATATGAAGGGTACTCAAAGTAAGTATCTACATGTACATACTTTTTGCTATATACTTTTTTTGGTGGGGAAGACAAGGCCAAAAGTATATTTTTTTATTTTTCCCCACTAAAAAAAGTATGTAGCGCTGCATACTTTACTTTGAGTACCCTTGATAGGAAAAAAACAATCATTGATAATCATCACTGAACTGCTGTAGTGATAGAAAAAATAACCCTACAATTAGGTTTAGAGATGAGATAAACAGTTACCCTCTCTCAACCTTCAAACAGATCCCCCAAGCTTTTATTACATACACCAAACTTTTAAAGAACAACTTTGAAGTTATATTGAAGTATATCATCAAGAGTCATATAAATATATGACTAGTTATTCAGTTCATTACTTTAAGGAGCTTCCTGAATAGAAACAACTTGTCCATGAATACCACAAGTGGGATGTTTGTAGCTGGAAACCGAACATGTATTTGGATGTTGTAAGGTATGAACACTGCTTTTGAGGTCTTCTTGGTTGGAGCCAATTAAGCAGATGGATCAGCAACCTTTTGAGAACCCAATATGTAGCTGAAGATAACAACAACCAGTGGTTTGGCAGGGTTATGTCCACAATCTGTATGATCAAAGTATCTATCAGACCAATAAGCCAATCCCAAATCAACACATACTCACCTTCATCAATTCTTTGGGTAATCCAGATCTTTCCAAGACTTGGGATAAGTCAAGCACCAGCAAAAGTATATTAGGATTGCTTATAATCTGGCTCTGAGTTGATGAGTTTGATAAGGCCTCTGCAACAATGATTTGGCTTCTTGGATTGGGTTAATCAGGGATGTACTGGCTTGAGTCCATGAGATAAAGCCAGGCAGTAGCCGTGTTGATTTGGTTTTTGGACACTGGTGTAGGTGTTGAAAAAGCAGTTAGAGTAGGAGTAGGATCTTGGTCTAGGTGAAAATAAAACACAATTTCAAAAAGGACAAAAGATTGTTAAGATTGGATGTGATAGGAGGTGAGAATGGAGGCCACTGAAAACTGAAAGATGGAGATCAAGTTGGATGGGGCAGAGATCGATGTTGAAGACAGCATTGAGGTTGGTGTTGAGAGTTATTGGATGATAGTATAGTTCGATGAGCGGAGATATTCATGATGGAAGTCAAAGTGTAAAGATGAAATGAAATCAAGAGTGCATTTTAAGCGAGCGCGCGGCCCTGGTGGGAGTGCCAACTCATGAGCCAGCTGCCAGGGCTTTGGAGAGTTTTGTTTTGTTTAATGGAAATTGTAAAAAGTGTTTAGTGAGTTTCAGTTTAAAATCCAAAAAAGATGACTTCTTCCTCAACTCATTCAGCTCAAGATTACATTCATCAATTATCAATCCAAATCAGTTCTCATCAAGACTCTTTAGCTGCTATCAACTCAATCAAACCATCATCAGGAACCTCAACTTCATTCACATCTTGGTCAAATCTAAGCACGGCTTTCGGTTTACTCAATCAATCTTCAACTTCAACTCCTACAACTCTTAATCTAGATCCACATCATTTATATTATTTACTTTTAAAATTTGAAGAAATCGGAATTCAAATCGGTTCATTAGATATTCAAAACCCACATCAAATCAAAACTTATGATCCAACTCAATGGATGATTGGATTTAATTCTATTGAAAGAATTCATAAGATTGATAAATCAGATACGATTAGTTTATTTTCAAACTTATCTAATCTTTCGATCGGTTCAACTTGGTGGTCAGGTACGACTTCAGCTATTAAATCGATCAGTAATCTATCCATTCAACAAGATGGACATCGTACAAGAACCATTGAAGAAGAAGTCAAATATCTTTATTCAAGTTTTACCAAATTACCATCACTTAAACTCACCCCTACATCAGTTCCAACCATCACTTCAAGCAACCCCAAAGCAGGACCTAAACCCATGCAATTACTTGAAGGCTTTACCGATCTACCTAATCAAAACCTTGTTCCATTGATCTGTTTTAAATCACTTTGGACTCTTTCCATTCATGATCTTGATCCTCGTTTGTTTATTGGTTGGAATCAACTTAGTCAAAGTTTAAGATCACTTGAGATTCGTAGATCTGGTTTGGAAGATATCGAAAGATTGTTGATTGATTCGGTGATGTTTGATGTTGAACGTGAAGTTAAATTAGAATCTAATCAACAAGACTTGGCAGATGAGCAAAACAGTCTAGATCTCAAGAATGAACCTACCGTTGAGTCTGATGAAGAACGAAGAGCCAAAGAAACCGAAGAAACTGATCTAACCAACTCATCAACCGAAGAAACCAACCTAACCAATCCACCAAGCTCAAGTCAAGACCCATCCAACCCACAAACCCCACCACCAAGTTTCCCACCCCTAGCCTGGCGATTCTTACACCATCTATGTCTAGCAGACAACGCCTTAACGTTTATTCCTTCGAATCCGTTGGCTGCTTTGGTTTCATTGGTCTCATTGGATTTATCTTCAAACCTTTTGATTGTCGTTCCAAACGGATTAAGTTCTTTGATTAGACTTAAGTCTTTGAGTTTGGCTGATAATATGATTGATTCGGTTTTAGGAATTTATCAAAACCTTGGAAACGTTTGTACAATCTCTCACTTTATTTTCCTTTCGAATCAATTTTTTTTTGGTTTTCCTTTTAAAAAAGTGAAAATCAATAGAAACACTTGAACAAACCGATTCTAGAAATTTTTAAATTTCTTTTTATTGATGATTTTTTGGTTATTTTTTTCATAGGTTACTACCATTAATTTATCAAAGAATCGATTAACTTCTTTATGTGGATTAGAAAGACTTTATTCCTTAGAAAGACTAGACATCAGGTCGAACAAGATCCAAGACATTTCCGAATTATCCAGACTAGCCACCTTACCATCGCTCACAAACCTATGGACATCTTCCAATCCATTCACAAACCAAAGAGAAGATTGGAGACCAATAATCTTTAATTATTTTATAGAAGAGAATCGAGACATCGATCTAAGTTCAAGTACAAGTCTTAATTTAACATTAGATAACTTACCACCAACCTACCAAGAAAAAAAACTATTAAAAAGATCGATCGGAAGAACTCTTACACCCGATCCAATCACCTCTACTACTCCATCACCTAAACCTATTGTCTTACGTAGTCCAGGATCTTCAACTGTAGGTACGATTCGAAGATCTAAAGTTAAACCTACAAGTGATGGGAATGGGATCCCAAGTAGTTCAGAAGACAATAATTCATCTCTTCCTTTTTCTAAGAAATCTACAAAAGTAATGGTGATTAAGAAAGATAAGACTCGGAAAAGAACTCCTAGGATTATTGAATTAGATCATGTTTCAGAGTTTCCAAAGAAACCAATCTCACAAATCATCGAACCTAATCATCATCCAATCCCTTCTTCTTCAAATCTTCCTTCTAGTAGTCATCAAAGAATCGGTAATTTAAGTTTAGATGGTCGGATTGGATCAGGTTTAGGTTCTACTTCTGGTTCTAATCATGATGAAGATCATCCAGTTTCGTTTAGGAAAAAAATCGAAACTCTTAGAGATGAGGTGGGTGATGGATGGTTAAAAGTCTTAGGTGAAAGTGAGTTTGGTCAAACCCAAACCCAAACCCAAGAACCGATTCAAAGTAAAAGTAAAAGAATTGGGAATGGGAATGGACATGATTGATTTTAGAGGGTCTTGATCATTAGTATGGTAGATGAGACTATCTTTTTTTCGAATTCAGTTTTCTTTAATTTATTTGGGTTAATTAAGTTTTAATTAGTTTTATGGTTCAATTATGTTTGGGATCTGGTGAGTATAAAGTATTTATGTAATGAAGAAAGAAAGCAAAAGGAGTGTTGGTTTAATTGTTGATGGTTTTGTTTGATCTTAGAAATGTTGTATGAATGTCTTAGTTTTGTGGTTTGGTTGAATTGAATTGTATATGATTGAAAGTGAAAAACAGTTTGGGTTGATGGTTTAGGTAAGCTTAGTTGAAGTTGAGAATCATCGAATCACATTTCATTTGGATCTTATTTGATTATGTGTGTAGAATCTAGATGAGTCAAACATCAAGTGGTTCAACTTCCAGTTTGGTTTTACTTTTTTTTTGGATTTCTAAGTGAACTAAACAGAGAACATGTGAAAATTACTCAGTTGCTCAAGTTTTACTAGAAGAAAGAAAACTGTTACAAAAGAAAAAAGGACTTGGGCTTGAATATAGCTTTGTATATATAAAGTAAGAAATCCAAAGAAAAAAAGCAAAAGTAAAGAAAAAACCAAACATCAAATCATAAGTTCAAATAAGTTTTTTTCTTCTTGACATATAAAGATTTTTTTTTTCATCCAAAGTAATATACTAGAAAGATACCTTACCGAGCTACGAGGGGTGGGAAGTTCAGTAAATCGAGAACCGATCTTGATGGAAATGGTTTATTCATTTGAATTTTCGACAGGAGGTGTAGTAGAAGGATATTTAAGTAAAGATTCATCACGTCTTTTTCCCCTTAAATCCCATTTATGCTAATAAATCCATCGTAGAAAAAAAAGAAACGTATATTAAAGTCAGTAAAGATCGAGAAAAAGTTTATGGATAAGTGGTTTTTTTTTGGTTTTGAAAAGACTAACTGAATCGATGACAGAAATATACATGAATCCAAGAGGTATCATACCAAGGATTAAGAACGTATTACGAGTATGTCTTCCGTTAAACTTGAAAGATTTCACTACTTCATCTCTCATCAATGAAAACTTATCTACATGTTTGTTATGCTGAAAATCCGAACGAACAAGAAAAATAGGGATTGGATTAGATTTTGTTTTTTTTCGATGGCTTGAACATGTAGGATTGGATTTCAGAGAAAGAAAGACTTTACGTGTAATGCATCTATTATGGTTCGGATCAAATCGGATAGAATTAGGATCGTGCATTTCTTCTTTGAGGTGGACATGTTCGGTTTTTTGGGAAGAAAAGAGAGATTGGGGAATTACTTACGGAATTCGTTTGGGTTACCCATTTTGTTTTTTTGGTTGAATGAAGTGATGAGTTCAGTTGATTTGATTTGTTGCTTTTGATTTGATTGATTCGTCGATTGATCGATTGTGAAGCTCAGGTTTCACTGGTTCTGTACATCTCTGTGATATCTTTGTGTCTTGTTATGTACATAGCAACTTGAAGTTGAACCCCAACAGTGACAGTCAAAGTCAAGTTTCTCCCTCTTCACTTGTCTATGGTATGAACTAGTGATTATCATCATTGTATGTAGGTAAACCTCACCATACCTGAAGAATCAAAAACTTCATGGATTCTGAAATAATATTCTTCTGCATTGGTGGTCTATTTACAAACATGAATCCAGAAAAAAAAAATCACAAGTTTTCCAGAACATCAGAAAGTCAGAATTGGTTCTGAACCTCTATCTTTGATTTGTAAATTCATCATATCAGATCATATCTCTGTACATACCATGGCCAAATCTTTTCCAGAACATCCCATGTTCCCATTCCCCTCATCAGATACCCCATAACAAAGCCACCAATCAACTCTTCTGTGGTGTCTGTTTCATCAATCTGGATTCTGTTGACCAACCTACTAATCAGAAACCTTATTGATTTTCTGTTGATTGTTTTTCAAAAAAAAAGTCCATAAACAAAGATTAACTTATTCCGTTGACATTGATGTAATAGATATGAACTTATATTAAATCACAGTTTGATTGGTAGAAAGTAAACTCAGTCAAGCAAATTCTTGGGTTTGTTATGTACAGAGCATGGTATTACCTAGGTTAATAGGTAGTATTTTGATTGATTGATTGATTAGTATTTAGATTGATTGATTGATTTTCAATATAATTTAATTTGGGTTAATAGGTAGTATCTTGATTGATCAATCAGTATTTTTATTGACTGGTTGACTTTAAAAGTATTTGAATTGATTTGTTACTTTGATTGTTCAGAAATTTTGAGGAAGATGAGATTGGTGAGTTGTGGGGAATGGAAATGGAGGGAGATGGGATTGGTGAGATGAAGCTGAGGTAGATGTGATGAGTCCAATCATGCAACAGTGCAATCACAAGGGCTTGATCTGGCATTTGAATGGGATGAGATGATGTCATGAACAACACCATATCCCAGTGTAAGTTTTAGAATGATGGTCAACTGCACAGATAGTCAAGGTTGTTGTATCCATGGTCAAACTCAAACCATGAAATCCTGGTGTGATCATCGAGGTCATTGTGGCAATGCTTATGGTGATCAAACTCTGTTGGACCTCTGACCGGTCCATGGCTTTCATTCAGCTTCAAGAGTTTCTCGTGGATGGGTCTGAGGATATTTTAACTTTTCACCAATCTTTCACGTGATGTTGATGTGAAATCTGAATAAAATATCACAGTGAAAGCACTTTGGTAGATTCACGTGGTTTGAATGTAACAATGTCACCAGCCTCTCCAAATCCCAGCCACACATGTCTTCGATTCTCCCCTCAGAGTCAATCCTGTGGTAAAAGGTCCCACTCCCAAGACACCTTCATTCATCCATTCTCATAAGCTCTTTTAGGGGGTGAGCTATCTAATTTTATATACCTTCCGTAGGATACTCCTACCTTGGTCTGACTTCTCAGACTGAGATAGGAGTCTTTGGGGGAGCCCGGTCCCGGGCCCGTACCACTTTTTACCCACGGTTAAAAATTTCCGTTTTAGGCGTGGCACGGGTCCGTTTCCAGCTGGGTGGGTGGGAGGTATAAAAAAACTATTTGAAGTGAATTTATAAAATTAAACTGAGATGGGATTGGTGATCAAAATAAAAAGTTCTGAGTTTCAATTTTTTGGTGCGGGGTGTGAAAATTTTCAAAGTTGAGACTTTTACTCGATCGAGTTCTCGATCTCGTACAGTTGTACAGGAACCTCACTTACTTAGAACTTTTGGTCATGGACCTAAGTCTTAAGTTGTGCCTTGGTTAAGACAACCAATCCATTCTCATAAGCTCTTTTAGGGGGTGAGCTATCTAATTTTATATACCTTCCGTAGGATACTCCTACCTTGGTCTGACTTCTCAGACTGAGATAGGAGTCTTCGGGGGAGCCCGGTCCCGGGCCCGTACCACTTTTTACCCACGGTTAAAAATTTCCGTTTTAGGTGTGGCACGGGTCCGTTTGGCAATGCTGTGCTCTTTTAGAGTTGCGTGATACTCGACAAACCCTATGGAAGTGAGGCTCTTGTAGAGTCTCAACTCGTTGAGTAACCCGCGAAACTCTATCTGAGTCTTGCTTGCACTCGCTGGGCTCTTTTGTGTACGACATTCAATGTTCAATTTGGTTGCTTCGTTTATCCTCGCTTGCCTCCTTTCTTAACTACCCTGTATCCCGTACACCGTGCATGTATCTTGTCCCTTTTAACTCCGTCTTGTAAACTAAATTGGAACTTTAAATAAATTTGAAATTGGAAAGTGTGAAAACTTTAAATACTCGTCATCTCATCTGTTTATCTGTTTCTCCTGTCAATAAGCCATAGGAAATCTTTTGTGTCTTCCCTCTCCTTCTCGCTAAATTCTCGCAGATAACATTCGATTGCTTTTGACTTCCACCTGCCGACTTTCATGATCCCTTCTTTCTCCCAACCTAGATTGAGCCGTAAAGATGCTCCGCCTACTCTGAAGGAGTGCCCGGACCATACACCTTTTTTGACCCCGTGCTTTCCCCACACGTTATCCATGATCTTTGTGAATCGCATCCTCGTCAACGTATGTCTCTCCCCGTCCTCGAGATATGAGAATAGTATGTCTTTCTTTCCCCTCTTCGGGTGTTCAGCGGCGATCCACCTTTCTAGAGCCGCCACTGGGTCGAGGACTGACTGTTGCTCCGCTAACTTTATGACCTACACTTCTCCTGGTTTGGCGGTCTTCGCCTTCCATATCTTCAAAGAGGCGGACTTTCCTTTCCTTGATTCCTCTAGCTCTACGTCCTCCATCTTTATCGCACCTTCCTCTATCGTTTCTCTTAGCATCTCTCCTAACCTTGCCATTCCCCAGAATGCGCATAAGGCTATAGTCATCACTAAGTCGTGTGCCTTTGACTTTCCATTTAATTCCACTACCATTTCGAACAGCTTCTGTACCGTTACCGGCTTCTTCTTTTCCTTCCCGGTTATTTTCTTTCTTTCTTCGCTCCTCTCCGTCGATCTCAATAGCCAATCTATCAGTTGCTTGTCCATCTCCGGTTGCTTGTGGTGTTTCGCGATGTGCCAAGCCTTCAGCCCCGCTAAGTACTTCTCCACCGTCTTTTCTCGGACTTCCCTCATTGGTGCTGACTTCTTCTCTACTTCCGATGGTCCTGCCCAAACCACAAAACCGTACAAATCTTTCTCCGTCATGGGTTCCTTGTTGTTGAAAACTCTCCCTTCGCTTTCGATGTAGGATTTGAACTTGTTTACCGCGCTCGCGTAGCTCTTCTTAGTGCTGTCCGCCCACGCTCCGTTCACCAGGTGTTCCGTTACCGCCTTCCGCCAAGGTTCCCCATTTCCTATCGCGTTCTCGAAGGTCACGCGTTCTTTTTTCATACTCTTCCTGTGTTTCGTATTGTATGTAGGGCCTGAGGTGAGTGGGTATTGTCGGTTTCAGGAAGTAGGAGTCTTTCTTCGTTCCATGCTCACCTCTCGATAATAGGTCTGCGTTGTTATCCCCGGTTTTCACGTATCTTTCTTCCAGTTCGCAGCCGAGGTAAGTGATTCTTTTTTGTAACAGTTTCCACTCGTCGCTTACGCTTCGGTCTCTTGACTTCTGATTTCTGATAGCTGCTTCCGTTCCGGTGTTGTCGGTCAAAACAAGAAACCTTCTGCCTTTCGTTTCTAACAGGTTTCGAACCATCTCGACTCCCATCCTTACGGCCACCGTTTCAAGCCAGGCGATCCCTTGTTTCACTCCCCTTTCATCTATGTCACTCCAACCTGTTCTCACTTTTAACTGTGTCCAATGCTTTCCAACCATCACTCCTATTCCGAAACCCGTCGATGCGTCTCCTACCCAACCGATGTTCTCAATACCGTGCTTGGGTATTAACTTATGGTTTTCAAACTTTTTGAGTACGTCCTCCCACTCTATCAGGTCCTCTCCCACTTCCGTTGGTAAACATCTCAGTGCTAACTCGTTTTTCCATCCTGCTAGCATGCTGTATAGTCCGACGTTATAGCATTTCATCTGAGGTAACATGTATGTTACGTGGTCTAGGCGTCCCGTTAGCTTTTGTATCGACTTGTGAGTGTGTGCTCCCTTATTATCAATCGCCTCCCTAATCTGTACGAGTCTTTCTTGTCGTTTGTGCTCTGGGAGTCGAACTGATTTGTCCCTTCCGTTCCATATGAAACCGATGTACTTTTGCTCCGTTCCAAACTCAGTATTTCCCGTCGTTAGTTTTCACTCCCAATTCTGCGCTCGCCTTCACCACCTGATCCATTGTCACCGGGTTCTTCTCTCCCGCTCTCCGTATGAAGAGATTGTCGTCGACCCAGCGAAACACCCTCAAGAAGTTGAACTGTTTCTTCATGATGGCTCGCCACGCGTCCGCTGGGCCTCCGAAACTGCCGCATCCGGCTACGCCTCCGAAAGACACCCTTGTGTCTAATATGAACCTTCCTTCGGCTGTCCTTAACATCAAGTATCGCCACTGGTCGGGACTGGTTGGAATCTGCCGGTAGGCTTTTTCCCAGTCGAAAATCCCCAGCTCCAGGATTCCTCCTTCCTTACTGAAAAATGTCGCGACCGTTTGGAAATCGTCCCAACTTGTTTTGAAATCGTTTTTGTCTACATATGTGTTTACTGATGCTATGCCGTTGACTCTTTTTGGGTAAGATAGATTGTTTATTACTCTGGTTGACCTGTCGTTGTTCGTAACCATTCCCATGGGACTAGTCCGAAAAAACCCCAGCGTTGTAAGTACCTCGTTTTCTGTAAAGGGACCGCGCATCCTTCCTGACGCCAGCTCTTTCGATAACTTTTTCCGTATCTCCTCTTTGTCCTTCTCGCTGGTCGCATGATTATTTGGTGCGTAGAACTCCTTCTCCCCTATCCTGTGTTGAGGGATGCCTTGTGTGAAACCGTTTCTGAACCCTTGAAGTACGTATCCGTGTTCTTCCATCAGGTTTAGGGTACTCAGCATTTTTTCCCACATTTCGATCTTCATCTCGCATTTGACCTTCTTCGGCCAGCTCCTGTTCATGTGGTAACCGCCTTCCGGTAAGTTGTTCTCTAGTTCTGGCGGTGGCGACTTATAGACTTTTATGTTGCTTGACGTGTCTTCTAATCCTTCCTTTTCTGACTTGCGTGACATGAAAGTTGCGCCGTTGTGTTTAGCTTGTTGTTGGTCCTCCGCCTGGTCTCCCGCCTCTCTCGCGTCAGACGTCGTTGGCCCACATCCACTTGGCTTTCCGGCGTTTTGGGAAAAACGGCCTGGGTGGTCTCTCGCTCTTTCCTCTACTGTTTGTGCGTTGGTCTGGTCTCGTTCAATCCCGTGGGACTGGACGGCACTGGCAAAATGGAGCGATTCGTCGGGACTTTCAGAGCAAGGGCTGGGGAAAGGAATAGTTTTGGTATGTTATTTTACAATAGTTTATTCCTCCCTCTCTCTTTTCTCACAAACATGTGCATTGCTATTACAAAACAGTACGTTCTAGACTATCAACTTACTGTTTGTCCTGGTTGTCTGTGGACTTCTCTGCAGCACCTCCGTTTGGGGCGCTTGCGCCCCTTCCCTTCGCTTGCCACCCGTAACTTTTCCCCTTCCCGTTGTTTGCTGCGTTGAACACTTGGTTCGGGTTGGTCTTCTGTCCGGCGCCCCAAAAGTTATTCGTTTTCCTGAAGGCTTGGAAATTCGGGATGAAGTTCTCCTTTGGGCCTTGGTATCCCGTTGGCTTGCTGTAACCTGTTGTCCGAAGTGTTAGACACCCACTCTGTCAGTCAGTCGGCCCTCGTTCTTGGTTTATCGGGTGCGGTACTAACCTTGGTTTGATTTCCCGCCGTTATTGAAAGCGAAATTCCTTTTCGCGCTTGGCTTCGTTTTCCCGGTTGTCGGGTCTATGGACTCCTTCTCTCCTCCCGGAGCATAAGGGTTATCCGTGAACCTTCGATCTCCTAAGTTATCGGTTTCTTCTTTTGCTTCTCGCAGTATATCTTCGTGGAGATAGCCTGCATCTATCATCACCCTCTTCCCGTCCTTTTTCTTCACCACCATCACTACTAAGCGTACCTTCATACAATATCTCAGCGCAACCATCCAGGACTTGGTCGACTGTTTGATTTTTACTACGTTTTCTTTGTGTCTCCTGAACATCTTGGCTGCCATGGGTTTGTTGTAGTGCTCATCGAGGTACTTTATGAAAAGGTCCATTGTGTCGGTCCAGAAACCGTAAGTCATTAGGAGTTCCTCTGGGGGTGTCAATCCGGAGAAGGTTGCTGATGAGTCGTCCTCCTGCAGCTCTTTGATAGTCTTCGTTTTTTTCTTTCCAACCTGTCTGTGGTCGTTCTCAATCCAAGTTGGGTCGAAGATTGTTAGTTGCACGTATGCTTTCAGTTTGGAAGAAGAGGAGGATGTGGTGATCAATTTATGGGATCAATTAAAAAATTCACAATTACCAGTTTACCAGTTTATTAGCAGGATTCAGCAGGAAAGAAAATTCGAAATGGAGGTTTTTGATCAATTGAAGCTCTTGTAGGCTTATGTATTGGTCATTAGGTCAACATTACATTATTTTATTTCACATTATATATTAAGATCATTATAGTTTACTTACAAATTTATTACAAAAAGAAAGAAAGAAAAACATAAGAAAAATTCGAAATTATAGGTATAAAGGTTGGAAAATGGTTTTTAGGTTAGTAAAAATAAAGTTATGGGTATTATGAGGTTAGAATATGAAAGAACAACATTATATGATACTATGAAAATTTTAATCTTCAAGGTTGATAAGTAGAAACAGAAGTTATTAGGAAGAAAGCACTTTTTCGAAGTTGGTAAACAAGAGGTACACGTGTAGTTTGGTTGTGTAATAGTGGTAGTGATGGAATTTAAGGTTGCCAAGAGGATTTTCCGGGATTTTTAAGGCTATAGATGATGATGTAATATTACATGAGCAAGAAAGGCTTAGTAGTAGCTGTGAAAAGTGAAGAAAATGGAGGTTTTCAGCTAATTACATATGTCAAATGACGTCAGAATAGGTTGGTAGATGGCTCATTCAACGCAGAAGAGTGGATTACATAATGTACAAACTTTAAATCATTAGTAACGGAGGTGTGTGTAAAAAGTTATAAGGCAAATAAAGAATTGGTGTGAATCTCGAATTTACAGTCACAAGTCATATGTAACACTAAAAACCTTAACTTCACAACTCAATATCTTACTCATCACTCATCAGAAGTAGGTCATGTAGGTGTCAGAAATGATCAGTAACACGTGGACTACAAGATGCACTTTAGTAATCAAAAATTGGAGCACATCTGAAAAAATTCGTAATCTCAAAAAATTGGTTTTCAGCTAGTTTACAAGGAAAAAATCACCTGTATTCATCATAAGAAGTGCTGTACATCATATTATTGCGTCATTGATCACTTTTAGCTGTGAAAATTACATCATTTATTAGTAACAAAACCATTACATTGCGTCATCATAGGGTTTTTAGGGAATTTTGGGCGGATTTGATTGGTTTTGAGGCTGTTGACCATTGTAAAAGTTCTAGTACATTGTTATATATACTTTGAGAGGGTTTTGGGACTGTTGTTCCCTTTTTTTTTTCTTTATCATTTACGCCATTATTATTTTGTTTATCATCATAAACTTATTTTAATAGTACCTGTTCACTTAAATACGCCCTTTATTACAGTTATAAAGAGAAATTTACTTTAGTTTTATAGTCATAAAGACTTATTGGGAATAATATCAATCAGATATTGCTTATTTTTTTCAGTTATCAATTGGGAATAACACTATAGCAGTGTTGATAGTAATACAAAGTGTGCTTTTGAAGTTAAAATTACGTGTGAAGTTATATTTCTCTGGTGCCTTATCAGTACTCAATACAACAGAGCTCTTTCTGATTGTGTTGTTTTAGAAGAGCAGTCCTTAGACAACTTCTACTAGTCATTTTATTAGTAGATTATCCTCTTCCAGCTCTGTATAACCCTTGTTGGGTTATAAGTTCTACAACGTCGAAATACGGTGTCAATGGAAGAAGAAGGTTCCCTTCTATCGGTTTCCCTATCATGTAGGTGATGCCGTCTTCTGTTTCTGCACGCGAAACGTATGTCTGAAGGTTAGGTCTTGTACTCCAAACTCTGCTTCTGCGACGTCTCTACTGTTCTTAGGTCACTTACCGGATTCTTCCTCACCGTCCTGGTCTATGGTCCTCTTCTTTTTCTCTTTTGGTTTTGCGACCGTCTTTCCAGTCTCTGCCAGAAGGTTTCATATCTGTCAGTGACTTGCATCACGTCTGTTTCCTATCTGATGTTTGTTAGGGATGTCTTACCGGATTCGCTTCCGCTACTTGGCTCTGCCACTTTCCTCTTCTTTTCTTTTGTTTTCGGCGTGTCCGCCGTTTTTTCCTCCGCCTTTTCCTCTATCTCTACTTCGTCTTCGCTTTCGCTCTCTCCGCCTGCTACTAGCGACTCGGTCCTTGGGCGCTCTCTTGCTACTTCTGAAGGAGGCACCCGAGCTACGTTGGGGGTCCCGTTTGGGACGTTGTACCCAACACTGTTGGTGATCCGGTCTCTTTCTTCAGTCGTTGGGTAAGCTCCGCCATATACTGCGTTAAGTGCTTGTAGCATCTCGTCTGCACGGTTCACGTCTCCGAAGTAGTATTCGTGTTCTGTACGGCTCATCCACTTTGCCTTCTTTGTTTCGTGGTCGTCTTCTGTCAAGTACGTGTGAACGCAATTTTCACGAGTCAGCTTCTGTAGTCTTTCTCCTCATGGTATAACGTGGTGCGTTTTCTGGGACTGTAAGCGTTATTTCTCTGGACTTTTTCTTTATCATATAGATATTCCGTATTTGGGTTTGACTGATGTCTTTCTTTATCCGTCTTTTTGGAATCAATGCCTTTCCGGCTTCCTCTTCTTTTATCCTCATCTTCTTTGACTTTGTCCGTCTGACTGTCATCTTGTTTTTTTCTTTTTTTTCTTTTTCCTTTGATCATGGTATAGCCCACGTCTGCCTCAGTGTTGTGTGACTGGTGCACTTTCCTCTCCCGTAGGGTGGGTTTGTTTCTTCTCTTTTCGAGACTGATTTGGATTGGGAAATACAGAGAAACGGAAATGGGTTTCATTCCCAGGACGCTCTAAAGCTTACCTTCTTCCTCTTCTTCCGTGTTTCCTTTCTCCTTCTCTTCTCCCTTATTCCCGTTCGACCCGCTGCCTACGTTGGTTCCGTGAGGTTCCTCTAGTGCTGCCGATTGGTTTGTGATTGACGTGCTGGTCCCTGCTTGTGTCTGCGACTGCTCGGCCATCTCTAGTTGCTGGTTGTTTTCTTTTCCTTCTTCTCCGGTTTTCTTCTGGCTCCTTGTGGCCACTTTCGGTCCGGATGATTGTTTTTGAGCTTTTGTTATTTTGATCTTTGTCCCTGAAGCTATGATCTTCTCTTTTGATGCGTTTATTTCTTCGCTGAATGATGCCATCTTGTCTTCTTGTTAAGAGATATATATCTATATATATATAAAAAAACTATTTGAAGTGAATTTATAAAATTAAACTGAGATGGGATTGGTGATCAAAATAAAAAGTTCTGAGTTTCAATTTTTTGGTGCGGGGTGTGAAAATTTTCAAAGTTGAGACTTTTACTCGATCGAGTTCTCGATCTCGTACAGTTGTACAGGAACCTCACTTACTTAGAACTTTTGGTCATGGACCTAAGTCTTAAGTCGTGCCTTGGTTAAGACAACCAAAGAATCGACAATATACTAGTATATCACATTCGACTCATAATTCAAGATGGCAATCGGCAGATGAAGATCTCTCCTAGCACCTCGACAAAGCGTCTCACCTTGATACTCATGGATCGGACTCGTGTGATCATGACGATTGGGACTTGATTTGAATTCAAGGTGTGGACTCCGCATTTAAATCAAACCGTATCAGCCAAACAGAGAGACTTGTTTATGAATTAAATTAATGACCTACAATCTTGAACTTCAGTTTCACAGAATTCCTTTGAAGTTATACATGATGTATGTGATAAATAGGATTCAGGAATGGACGATAGTTTTAGAGTGGTAAACTGGCATGACGGGTGGATGTCAGATGAATGGTAGACTGAAGGGAAACTCCAAACATGACGTCAAAAGATGACCCAATGTGGATCTCAAGCTTCGATGACGCCTATGACGCTTCGATGATGATAGAAGTTGTTTGATTGGATAATAAATTCCTCTTTCGATGTCGATTTCACTCCTAAATAAATCCAAACTCGATTTCCTTTTTTCGTGTTTTGATTTGATGGAACTAATTTTAGAAATGTCGGTTCAAAGGTGATAAAAGAAGAGAGTCGAGACTTGACAAAATGAAACCGTACAAAAAAATCAGTTTCTAATACCAAGCCTATACCAAGTTGAACAATCTCCATCAAAATTAGTTTACGACCTGAAGTTTGTCTACAAGATACCATCTCGATTTCGATTTCCGCTCAACTCAACTCAAACTTCATCATTAAGACCTTCATCATCACCTTCGATTTCTATCCTATCTATTCTGTTTACATCATATCTTTCATCTTGATTCATATCTTTTATACATTTATATCTCACATAATTTTCAGACTCTTCATTCAACCCAAGCTATGTCTATCGGAAGTCCCATTACCACAAACTTCAATGAAAACAATTTATCGAAAGAATTTATCAATCAATTTCAACATCTTACAAATCAAACGACTTCAATTCAATCAAGATCCTCAAAACTCTTGAAATCTACTTCAATTTCAATACCAAGATATGATCAATCTGAATTACAATTATCAAAACAGATTCAATTTAGACCAGCACTCTTGACTTCAAACATACATAGATTCACTATCTCAGTCTTACCAATCTATGCTACAATATCTTATGAACTTGATAGATTAAGAAGTTGGAAAGATCCAATTCGTACTGGGATTTGGGCTACCATCTATACGATTCTTTGGTCCTATCGTTTAACGTTTTTTGGTTTTCTATCAATTGTGTTATGTTTCACGATTTCACCCAATCAAACTTATTCAATTTTATTTCCTACAACGACTGATACTCAAACGACTTCTACGACAACCTCTACGACCTCTACGCCTACTTTGATTGATTCAAAAGATGATTTACATGAAACGTTACCTTTCGAGATACCAACTGACGATTTTATAATTGAAACTGATGAAATTAAATTAGAAAATTTTGAAGAATCACAAAGTGAAGAGTCCATAAATTTACCTAATATCTTAATCACCGAGTCAAATACCACTCCAATCAAAACCAAGGATGATGAAATCCATTCAATTTCAAGTTTAGAATCAAATCTTCCACCTAGTTCAATCAAATCATCGGATTTATCAATAGACCAAAGTTTCAACTCAGCTAAATCTGTGATCACTAGTTCTACTTCTATCAAATCTAATCAAACAAGTCCTGATTCCATCAAATCAAAAACCCCTAGTTCCAATTCAACCAAATCTAAAACACCCAGTTCTAAATCCACCAAATCCACCAAACCCTCATCAACATCAACTCAATCTTCCTTCTTACCCACAAAATATAGGACACACGTAGAGAAGTATGGTGGTGGTGTTCAAAACATTGCGGCAGCATTATCAGATGGACATGAAAGATTTTTAAACTTATTCAAAGGAAAATATGTTAAACCGACCACCAGAGCTACCGAACCTGAAGAACTTTGGATCTCACCTAACATTAGATTAAGTTTGATCATTACAATCATTTTGATGGTATCATATTTTGTTCCGACTGAAATTATTCTACGTAGTATAAGTTTGATAATTGGTATTATTTTATTTGTGATTGAACCTTTGGAGAAACGATATGAATGGATTTCATCAATTTTAGATCCAGAACAAGGAATTTTGAAAGATGTACCTACTGATAGAGCATGGGTTTTATATGAATTAAGACAAATCAAAAACAAACAGGGTTTGAAAGGTTTATATAGAGTTTTAAGTGTTTTGGATGAAGAATGTCATGCGGTTAAAGCAGAAGAAATTAAAACTGAAGATGTAGTGAATTTGAATGAAACCTCAATAACTTTAGAAACCACTAGTTTGAAATCGACTCCAACTCATTTATCTAACTCTTCTACTTCTACCAAATCAAGTAAAAGGATCAAATTGGTGAATACGAGTCGAAAGTTTACAAAGTTTTTAGAAATCGGAAACGATTTATTAAATTTAGAAAAACCTATTAAACTAGATAATTATATCAATACGATTCTACAACCTACCAATTCATCAATTTATTTAAATTTAAAGACTAAATTGAAAAAACAAACCAATACGATCGAATCGAATCTATCAAATTTAATTTTAAGAGAAGCTAAAGAAATCAAAGAGGTCAAAGAGGTTAAGGAGGAAAAGGAAAAGGAAGAAGAAGAAGAAATGATTAGGTTTGGTTGTTGTTTCAAAAGATTACCCGGAGAATTAAAAGTATATGAAGAGTTTATTAGATTCGATTCAGGTTTTAATTTCTTAAACAAATCATTAAACAAATCGAATTCACCTATCAATCCAAGTTCTTCTATGAATTCAAATCATTCTAATATAAATGATAGTCATCAAATTCAAATTAATTTCAATCAAATCGTTTCAATTAAAAAATCATCTGGAATTGGTATTACAGGAATTTGGGGATCAATAGATGGAATCGAAATCGAAGTTGAAATCGAATCTCAACAAGGTTTGATAGTTAATGAAGTTTATAAGTTTTGGAATTTGAATCAAAGAGATTTATGTTTTATATTTTTAATGGTTTTAAGAGAATGGAAAGAATCATCAACTAGATTTGGATTAAATTCATCTGGTTGGATTTCTATTTGAAATAGAAACCTTTTTTCCTTTTGTATCGTTTTTTTTTCCTTTTTTGTTTTGTTGATGATGGTGTTTTACTTGTGTATTAAAGAAGATCTTGTTGGTTGTTTTTTTGTATATTATTTTAAATGTTGTTGTTAATGTTTTTTTCTTTGAATATATAATCATAAAACTAAAAAGTCCCAAAAAATAAACGTTTGAATAGAAAATCGTTCAAGCTGCTGTGTTCTTTCTTCAGATATGTCTGGGAGTATTATCCTTTAAGTAAAGAGTAAACATGTGGATACATAGTGGTAAAAACATTGGAAACCTGTTAAGGAAAAAGGGGGAATCTGACATTTCCTATGGAAAGTACACTTTTATGTCACAAATGGCAAATACAATCATAGTATTACTTTCTATGAATTTTTGTCCTAGCTAGTGTTCTTTTTTGTCATCTTGATATCTATTCCCTATGTTTCAATGAGCTCAGATCATTTACAAAATGCATCAATTCATCAGTATGACAATTCCCATGATATGTGTGCCATTCCAATCATTTGATTTCATATTAATTCATAGCCTTACAAACCTCACTGCCAGATAGATTCTCTTGGAGATTTGTTACAAGGAATTCCTGCCTATTTACAAGGTTAGATGTATTAACATTTCAAGACCCAGTGAAGATATCAACTTTGAATATTTGGAAGTGCTTATGTCCATTATTTCAGATTTTGTAGTAATAATCTAGCCCGTAAGTGTAAACCTCATATGGTCTCATAGGCTTCTCCTAGACTAATTTGAAACTTGCTGACAGCATTTTTAGAAGATGTTGAGCTCATTTTGAATGAAGTGATCTTCATTTGGCATGTGCAAGTGCAAGCAAACATGAGGATCTGTGCCAGTGGGAAAAGGTTCTTCAATAAAAATAAACTATTCTGAGGCCAGATGAAAAAAATCAAACAAACTCATTCAAAAGTGAGGACAGATCTGTGAGCTCTGTCTCTTGAATTCAACTGGCTGGCATAGGCTGGGATTGGTCTGCAATAGCTGAGTCAGTCATCTCATATTTTGGGGTTCATACAGTTACAGATCAGCGAGACGGATCAGTTGATATGTAAACAAATGATGATGTAATCTGAAATTTTAGGGACCCCATTTACAACATCGACCTTGTTGACCTTCTTTACCAAGAATCCTGGAGTTGTCTACATAACTATCTAGTTTGTGAGTCTCAAGTGTTCCACAATATCCTATCTTATCATTTCAAAAAGAATGTCATTCTTAAAACCTTTGATTTCGAAAAACTTGACCATCAAATCCACTTCGATCATCAATACTAGATCAATCACTTCAATTTCAAAATCTATAATACCTTCAATTCACAATCAGAAATCGATTCGATCAAGTTCAAATCCGATTTGTATTCCCAAACGTTACTTTACTGAAACGAAATCAAAAATGTCAATTCATACTGGAGGAGAAGACGCAACTAGACCAGCACCCGATCAAGTTTTGATAGATATAGCAGAATATGTTCATTCGCCTAAATTCGATAACCATGATTTAGCATATGAAACTGCAAGATTATGTTTAATTGATACCTTGGGATGTGGATTAGAAGCTTTGAGGTTTCCAGAATGTGCTAGACTTTTAGGACCAGTAGTTGAAGGTACGATGGTTCCAAATGGGACTCGAGTACCTGGAACCAACTATGAGTTAGATCCGATTCGTGGTGCATTCAATATTGGAACGATGATTCGTTGGTTAGATTATAATGATTGTTTCTTGGCTGCTGAATGGGGTCATCCTTCAGATAACCTTGGATCGATCTTAGCTGTAGCAGATTGGTTAAGTAGAAGTTCAAAATCAAAACCATTAAAGATGAAAGAAGTCTTAACTTGTATGATTCAAGCTCATGAAATCCAAGGTGGATTAGCCTTAGAAAACTCTTTTAACCGAGTTGGATTAGATCATGTGGTTTTAGTTAAAGTAGCAAGTGCAGCTATCGTTAGTAAATTATTAGGATTTACAAAACAACAAACTATTGATGTGATCAGTCAAGCTTTTGTTGATGGTCAAAGTTTAAGAACTTATCGTCATGCTCCTAATACTGGATCTAGAAAATCTTGGGCCGCTGGTGATGCTTGTAGTCGAGCTGTAAATCTTGCTCTTTTAGTTCAAAAGGGTGAGATGGGTTATCCTACTGTGTACGTCTGACCACCCTCCTTTGGGTATCATGTTCGAGCCTTCCTTTTTCATTGATCCACAACTGATTGATTTTGTATCTTTAGATTGTCTGCTAAGACTTGGGGTTTCTATGACGTCTTGTTTGGTAAAAAGCCATTCAAATTTCAAAGACCTTATACATCATAGTGAGTTGAACTCTTGTTGATGATCTTCAGCTCTTTAAGTAGTGTTGTCTAATGATTTGACTTTAACATTTTAGTATCATGGAGAATGTGTTATTCAAAATCTCATATCCAGCTGAATTTCATGCACAAACTGCAGTAGAATGTGCTCATATTCTTCATAATAAGTTAAAAGAGATGGGTAAAAGTTCAGATGATATCGAATCTGTTACTATTCGAACTCAAGAAGCTGCGATCAGAATTATCGATAAACAAGGTCCGCTTCATAACTTTGCTGATCGAGATCATACTGTGAGTAAACTTGTTCTTTTGAATAGATAAATCGAAAACCAGATCCAGAGCTAATTGAGTTCCGTATTGATTGATTACATAAAGATTCAATATATGGTCGCCATCCCATTGATCTTTGGTAGATTAACTACCGAAGATTACACAGATGCGATTGCCAAAGATCCACGTATAGATCCATTACGAGCTAAGATCAATTGTATTGAAGATAAAAGGTTCAGTGTAGAATATCATGAACCAGATCAAAGATCGATTGGAAATGCGATTAAGATCAAACTTAAGGATGGTACTGAACTTGATGAAATCGAAATCGAATATCCTGTTGGACATAAAAGACGTAGAAGTGAAGGAAAACCTTTACTTGAAGCTAAATTCAAGAGACATGCTGAAGCTCACGTAAGTTTATATTTACTGAAATGGGGTTTTTTCCCTCAAGAACTGATTTTTGAGGGTTTATTTTGGTGTTCTTTAGTATTCTAAGGAACAACTTGGAAAGATCTTAGATGTGGTTAATGATCAAAAGAAATTGGAGTCTATGGATGTTCATAGTTTTATGGATTTATGGGTTAAGAAATAAATGTTTTCATCCTTTGATTTCCTTCAATGCAGAAAAGATTGATTTTTCATAAGTGAGTTTTCCATTTGTTCTTTTAAAATCAGAAGCAAAGTTTAATCAAAAGGAAACATCTGCTTTCCAGGGCGATTTTTTTTTCTTTCTCAATCGTTTATAGATATGCACAAAGCAAAAAGTTTGTTTCTTGCAGCTTGTTGTCTTCAACAGAGAAAAAAAGTGTTTTTGAAAGTATTGCAAAGTTTTTTGTTTGTTTGGCTTGAGATGGTTCATGCATTTAAAGAACAAAAAGATATGTACAGAGTTTCTGTTTTTGACAAGTTTGTAAGAATGCTACAAGTGCCTCAAAGTGTGAAATCCTGACGTAGATAAGTTTCTTGAACTGATAGGTGTGCCTTTGATTTGAAGTATTACATGGTTTTTTTGTGAAAAGATTTTATAAAAACAAAGCAGAAAAAGAAGATCTTTGGAGAAGTTTGTTTATGCAAAGTTTGTATGATGAGTATGGTTAATGTCATCAAAGACTGGGAGGTTGGTCAAAAGGCTCAAAAGAACACTCCACCCTCAACTTCTTTCTGTCTTCCTTGTCCTTCTAATCCATCCAGAGCTTGACAGCTGTAGTTTTGATCAAACTTTTCAAACTTTATGGAAGTGTTTTTTACATCATTTATCTTTGAAGAACAAGGCTTCATGGTAAAACTATGTTGTGTAAAAAGGTTTTTGCAGCAAGCAGAATTGATTCCAAAACATTTTGATGCAGCTGATTTGACAATGATTGGTTTTTATTGAAAAGTACATCATGGTGCATAATTTGGGTTTCTTCTAGACCAAGTTTTGTTTCTCTGCTAATTTTGAGAATGCAAATACTACAAAACCTATAAGAACATTTTTTCACTGGCAATGCAATTTTTTGAAAAAAGGAATCAACCATTCTCAAATCTGTTGTATGCTTTAGCTATCTTAGTCACAAGTGTTAAACTTATTAAGATTCATCTGTGTTTCACAAATCAGCAGAGAAGCATAATTCAGGTTTTGCCGCAGGATGAACAGATCTTGAGGAAAAGGTCTTTGTTGTGACAGATTTATGAACAAGTGATCATCATAGCTCATCAAACTAAAGTGTTGGGAAGTCTTTAGCTCTTGTATCAAAGGTATCTTGTACTTCATAGCTTCTTCACAGAATCTCAGACAACATGCCCTAAGCTTGCAGACAAACTATTACACCAACCTGCTCCAAGAGGAGGAGTTTTGCAGCCTGTCATAACTTTCTACCAATCAACAGCAGGTTTTCAAAAAAAATGCCACAGATGTGCCAAACTTAACTAAGTCCCACGTAGACTTGAGCAAGTCCCTGAGCTGTACCAGCTCACTCAAACACACGGGGGACTTAGTTAAGTTTGCAGATGTGCAGACTTTTTTGTTGACTTTATCACCCAAGTTTTGAATTGAAAAACTTGAGCAAGCTGATCTTTTGAAAAATATTCTATAAACATTCTCTTGAAAGTCACTGTTTTTTTCCTTTTGGTGGGGTTGAACTTGAAGTGAGATAAAAGTGACATTGAGTTTGTTGTGAAGTCCAATGGAACTGATCATTCAAATTGTGTATCTTTTTTGTCTAATTGAGTATCACTTCAATTCTCTTCACTTTCTTTTAATCTTTTGGTCAATTTGTATCCTTTGCTCATTGCAATCTCCAAGGCAGAAGATATGCTTGCATCCAACACGTTTTTGTACAGCTGTTGTGAGAACTAATGGTAACTTTTTTTTATTTTGTGTTGTGTCGAGATTTAATTCAAAACTGGAAAAAACTAGAAAAAACTCGTTTTTGACCATGAGTACCGTGAGATAGTAGTTTTCCGCAGGAGGCACGACGAAGGTGGGCGGTGTCCACGTTTACGTGTAGCGCATTCTACATGTGCCTCGGCGGAACTCGTCAGAAATTGAAAAGGTGTATTCAAATCCAAAGGGTCTTGGTTCTTGATTTGGTATAAAGGAAAGAAGATGGCATGGCGATTCCCTATCCCTAACCAGTAAGGGTCCTAACATTTCAATTAAAGAAAAAAGTATGATCCTTCCACGAACCTATCTGAAAGAGTTCATAACGAGGCCACAGATGAGGTATTAGGATTTGTCCCCTCATCCTTATATCCTCTTGATTTCTTTTGTCAATCAATTTTTCTATCTTCGATAAAGTTCTTCTGAAAGGCTCCAACAAGTGTTTTTGCTCAAACACCAACAATTGCCCATACCGTTCACCTTTGAGAACTATTTTGAAGACTTTATCGAAATATTTTTGTGGGTTGTGTGTTGTTTACAGATAAAAGCCTTTTCACAGAAACCAATTTTTGTCTTTTACCGTTTTTTCCTTTTTCACCTTTCCTCAAGTCTTTTTCCTGTCCCCTTTTTTACAAAAGTTCACATACTTCCTTTTTCAATTTAAAAATTTCATAACCGGATTACTCTATACACTTTGTATAAATCCCTTCGCTGAAACCCTTGGCCATCAAAGAAAACAGAGCAAATTAGAAAAGATGTCAACCAACAACATCGGAGACACAGCATCACGACTAAACGCCCTAAACGCAACCAGTGGAAATTTAGCAGAGCCATCCAATGCTACCACAGGCGGACCCAGTGCACAAGTGGGGAATTCGAACCACGTAGCACTCAACAGGGAAAGGGGGATTCCAGCCCCGTTGTACAATAAGCAATCTCTAATCTCCAGCTATCTCACCAGAGAAAAAGGTACGAAAGCATTTTCTTGCATACCTATTCAGAAAGCGAAATCGCTTAAAAAGGTTTACTCAAATGAACATAAAGCTGACTAAAATATGTCCATTAGATAGTTCAGGGCAACCGGGCGAACAAGGGTTAAACAATAATCCCAACAAGCAAATCAACAACAGTAAGCGAAAACTCTTTTTCTAAGCAAAGGTTTGAACTGTGCCATAACCCAAACTGACAAAGCAACTACCAATCAATCATCCTCCCTGCTCAGACCCAACACAAAGCAAGGGAAATGCAACCGAGTCAGGCACTATTACCCAAAAGAATGGAAATGGTAAGCAGCGTTAACCACCGTTAAATGAAAGACCAATCTTCGTATTAACCAAAGTTTTCCAAAATAATTACCTTCTGACATGTCATAGACCCCAAGCAAAGCCAAAACAACGGTGAAAGCTCAAAGAACCCACCGAGCAATGCGGCTGAAAAAGGGAATACCAAGCATACCCAAGACGCCATAACCATCGATGATTGCTTATCAACAACCGAGAACAGGTACATTGAAGAATTCGGTGGGACAACCATCCTTCCGAAGATCAAAAAGACAAACCCCGCTATGGGCGAGGAAGAAAGGAAAAAGTTGTTACACGAATACCAAATCAGACTGGCTGAACACAACTTACTACTCAAAGAATCAGCAAAGTTAGCTGGAATCCCACTCGTAGACCCCTCCTCAACCATTATTGAAGATGGCTCAACTTCCCTACCTAACGGTTCCTTCGAAGAAGGAGGCTTGTCTTTCGATTTCGGAAAAGCACCTGACGCTAGCTCTTTAGGCCTTCCTTTGTACTTCCACAAAAATATGCAAGTTCTTCAAGGATCTCTACCGCTAACAATCTTCAACAAAGATTGGCAACAAGCGGCATCAGATAATCATACGGATTACAAAAAGAATGATAAAGAAGTGGAAAAGTACAGAGGTCATCCTTACCCCGGAGAGTGGTCCCAATCCCGGTTCAAATGGAATGAAAACTTCGATAATCTAGTTGAGACCTGCAGAAAAGTATATAAATATGCTAAATTTGCCAACGCCCTAGAAGTCCACAAAAGGAACGTCATTAGGATCTTCAAAGACCAACGATCATGGGTCATCGCATTCCGTTATGATCTGACCATAAGGAAAGCAACGTTTGCAGTTCGAAACCCTACAGATAAAATTCCTAACCCAGCTTTAGAACCATCTGGCCTCGTCGATGAAGTCTACTATTCCGCAAGAGCTCAAGGAGACCTGAACTCAGACGATAACCCTTACCGGAAAGGAGGCCCCAAATTTGGCAGAAACCCTTACGCAGACACCACGACTGACCTAAACCCTACCCAGTCTAACCACTACGTTTCTGTAGCTGGCCCCTCTAGGCAAAACAATACCGGAAGAAACCAAGCCAAGAATCAAGGACCTTATGGAAACTACAGAGGAAAGAACTTTAACCCAAGCTACAAAAGGCCAGATGGGACGAAGTTAGACGGGCTGAAAGGAAAAGGGAAGGAGAGAAGGTAGGTTTAATCTTACAAACTTCTCTAAAAAGGCCCCAAAACATGTCTAGTCTTTTCTTGTCCCAAAGACCTTCCCGTGTTATGTTTCTTCTTTGAATGATTTGCTATGAATTTCATCAAATCCATGAGCATGTATTGAGGCTTATAGAAATGTTTTTCCTCCTCTTGTGTACTCTTTTGTATGTCACTCATTTCTGTTGTACAAAACCAAAATGAAATGGTCACGCTATGTTTTCAACCAAAAAGTTACAATCGCTCCAATTCTGAAAGCTCTTACATATCATCTGAAGACTCCTTCGTCCTATCCATGAGTTCTTCAACACCAAAAGACAATGGCATAAGATACCTATCAGAAGAGTTATGGCCAACGTCGGTATCCTGCGAAATGAATATCCCCGAATGGGAAAAAGCTTCGAAGGCAGCAGGAATTCTCGATGAATATGCTGATGTTATATACGGTTTTACCCACGGTTTCGACCAGGGGATTCCATACCACGTATTTGACAACTGTAAATGGTATACACCACCGAATCACGCGTCAGCTTCACTAGCCGAAGAGAAGATAGTGAAAAGCATGGAGAAAGAAAAAACCTTAGGACGCATCTTTGGACCCTTTACCCACGAAGAAGTCTACAACAGATGTGGGTTCTTCCGCACAAATCCGATGGGAGTGGTGGTAAACGGTGATGGTTCTATTAGACCCATCAACGATTTATCCTTCCCGCGTAACAACCCACACATACCATCTGTCAATTCCTTTGCCAACGCTGAAGATTTCAAAACAACATGGGATGATTTTGCAACGGTATCTCAGTACTTCAGAAAAATCACTGTCCCCTTTCTTATGACCATTTTCGACTGGAAAAAGGCATATCGCCAAATACCAACCATGCTATACCAGAGACAATACATGATGATCTTGGCTCCGGACGGAAGCATTTACTATGATAGCCGGATTGGTTTTGGAGGAGTTGGAGGCTGTGGATCATTTGGAAGGCCAGAAGACGGCTGGAAATTAATCATCAAGAATGAATTCGACCTCATGGAAATTTTCCGCTGGGTCGATGATGCCCTTTTTATAAAGGAAATGAATTCGACAGTCCAAATGAAAGAGGTGGTTGAGAGGAGCCTTGAACTCGGGGTAATCACAAACGAAGACAAAATATCAGATTTTAAAGAGGAACAAAAATTCATTGGTTTTATATGGAATGGAGTCGATAAAACAGTTAGACTCCCATCTGCGAAACTAGAGCAACGGAGAAACCAAGTCGATGAAGCCCTTGAAATCGACAGAAGGTTCTCTTTTGACGACGTTGAAGTCTTGACTGGTCGACTAACACACGTTTCTTTGATCCTTCCTCAGATGAAATGCAACCTAACGTCACTTTACAGGTGGATGAAAAGTTGGGTACACAGGTTCGCGACTCAATCCCTTCCAGTAGATGCGAGAAAAGACCTCGAAGAATGGAAATGGATTTTATCTATCTTCAGACAAACCAGACTCATTAGATTTTCGGATCCTATTGACATGGGTTGGGTAGGAGATGCATCTCCAAGTTATGGAGTCGGGGTATTGATAGGCGGTAAGGAGTGGTTCCAATTGAAGCTTAAGTCAGGTTGGCAGAACTCAGGCGAAACCCCAAGAGGAATAGCATGGCTTGAAACAGCTGCTATCCGAATAGGCCTTAATCACATCATATCAACAAGGACTTGCGGAGGGAAGACCTTAATAGTATGGACTGATAATACTACAAGCGAGAATGTGGTCAAAAACAGGAAATCAAAAGACATTGAGGTCAACACGGAATGGAAGAAAATCCAAAATCTTCTGATCAAAAATCAAATGGACCTAGTCGCCAAAAGAGTGATATCAAAAAGAAATATGGCAGATGACATATCAAGGGGAGAAGTTAAGGAACATGACAAGGACGAAAAGTATCGAGTCATGACCTCTATTCCGATGGACTTGGTAGATTGTTTTTCCCAAAACATAAAAGTCGGGGAAGAATTTGATGACCTCAGCTCACAGTTCCCCGGCCTGGTGTGTGACTGAGCAGGGAAGCGTATCGGAGGAAAAGTTTTTTGTACATGTCTTCTAACAAGTCAGAAAGTTTTTAGCCCCCTTTGCAATTTAAAAACTTTTTGAGACCAATTGACTCTAGCGTAGAAAGACGAGTCCCAAGTGTGAGAAGGTCACGAAACAAGTGAGAGTTTATGTTCAATTGAAACCCAAGACTTGAGAGATAACCCGCGTCGTGAAGATGCAACAGATAAAAGGGTTTTTACTTAAGAAAAGTTCAGATGCCCACAAGTATCCCAGATAAACTCATTGATTTGAAACTCCACCTTACTTAAGACCAAGATTCCACAATTTGGAGATTAGTGAGTTAAGATGTCAAGCTATCTACATCACGAGATAACTCTGACAAAATCGTTTCTTTCCCACAGTCATAAGAAATGAGTTCGACAATAATTGAACTCGGCAAGATAAAACACTTTGTCAGTAGAGGTGACGGTCAAATCAGCTACACCAAGAGACAACGACACATTATTCTCAGGTGGAAATGGAATACACTGGTCAGCTATAACGGGGCAGTAAGAAAATTTCTGAAGTTCTCCAAAGAAGAAGGCATGAGACTTTTCAGCCTTCCAGCAACATCAGATGAGGTATACGACTTCTGTACTTGGTCAGGTAGACACCAAGACGGACCGAAAAAGGAAGACATTCTCTCAGGAACGCTACAAAAGTACATATACGGTTTAAAGGCTTGGCACTTGTACCACAGTGTAGACTTCCCAAAAGTCAATGATTCAATGATAGAAGCCATGTTGATTGCAAGTAAAAAGATAGATTGTGAATTACCCAAGGGACAAGGCAAGAAACCAATTCATTTGAAACACATGGTACAATTAGTAACAGAACTATCACAAGGCGGACCGAAAGAAATCACGATAATGGATACAGTTTTAGTAGCCTTCTGGAGCTTGGCAAGACTAGGTGAGGTAGCTGGTGATAAACACAAGACGGCGGACATTGTGAAGAGAGCAGACGTGACGATAATGGCGGTAGATAGGACGGAAGAAGGTTTCATTTATCTGAAAGGAGCAAAAACAGCCAAGGCGGGTGAAACTCAAGTTCTTCAATTAAAGAAATTGAATAACATATTATGCCCAGTTGCAGCCTTGAAGAGGCGGATAGCACAGACAAGAGGAGACAACGATGTAATCTTCAGCTATGTTGATAAAGGATTACGCATACACTTATCAAAAACGATGATCATCACGAGCTGCCAAAGAGTTTGGGAATTGGCCGGTTTCGAAGGTTTAACAGGCCATTCCTTTAGGGTAGGAGGAGCGTCTTTAAGAGCAGCTTTAGGAGTGCCGATTGACAAAATATGTAGCATAGGAAGGTGGAAATCGGATCCATACAAACTTTATATCAAACCGTACTCACCAAGAGAGTTATTAGATAGTAAAGAATTGTTGAATGAGTTAAATAAACATCCGTTAGATGCATAAAGATACACAAGCCTAAAAGAATTGGGTTTTCGGTTTCATAGGCTCAGGCTTTCAGACTTGAGAGTAGGGTATAATAAAGGATCCCAATATTTCTCGCCCCCTCGGCAAGTATCCGTAGCCCCCTTGATTTGGGGCATTACCCGAGGAACCCGACAAAACCCGAGGGACTCCAGCCAAATTCTTGGTGAGCCGGACCGCAAGGGCGATTAGGGGCTACCACCCTCACGAGAAACCACTACCATTCGCCCCTATTGTCCTACGCTGAGCCCCCTTTTGTCTAATGCGGCGCAAAAGACCCAACATCGCCTCATCCATACCGAGCGTGGGATAT